TTACTTGACTTGAGAAAGCCTCTACTTTTTGATAAAGGTCCTGTCCTCTTTTTGAATGGTCGTGAAAAGGGCTCTGCTTTTTAACCAAACTACTAAATATATGCACTTCCTCTTTATATTTTTGTCAACATAAGACATTTAACTTCAAAGAACACAGTTTTGGAATAATAATATGTGATTTACAGCCTATTGCAGAGTTGTTTTTTACATGTGCCAGATCATACTGACAGCTTTACAGATGCCGATATCAGAATAGTTGAAGTAGCAGAGCCCAATAAACTGTAAAATTGACACAGCCAGCCAGAGACCCTTTGCAACTTTTGGCATTGTTGAACCATGAATGTAGTCAGTCAGGACTTGGCCAACACCCCTGTGAAGTAAATATAGAGTTCAATTAGAAAATAATGATTAATCTAAGCCTGGTAGGGAGTTAATGAGTAGATGAACCTAAAAATGCTACCGGAATTTTGTTTCAACTGTGCTGCTTCTTACTATGCAAAATTTCTACTTTACTTATCACTATCACTATTAAACAAAAAATCCTAATTTTTTAACCAGTTACCATCAATATCATTATCGCTGTCACCTTGTCATTAACATCACTAACCTTAAAGTTACAAAACTCAACCTACCAGTGGTTATGCAGGGGAATGACAGCAGCTAGTGCCCAGTCTACAGCAGCTGAAGGGTAGATTACTCCCGCGGGAATAAGAGTCAGTAAGGCAACACTGACATAGCGCTCAAACTTCCAGTGACTGGATGGCTGTGATGGCGCAAGTTCTGACAAGAAAAAGACATCACGTCCTCTGATTAAAAATTAATTTTTTTGCAGTAAAGATTCAACTTAGGTTGCCAACCAACATTTCTTTAACTCAGATTACACACAAGGAAAGATCCAGAGCCGTATCCAGACCTTCAGATAGGGGGAAATTCCCCCCCCACCCCCCACCGAGGCTCCTCCCCTGGGTCCACCACTGAGTTCTATCCATAATGGTCATTTAGAGGTTGTATATGAGACTGGGTCTAAGATGTGTTCTGATGTTATGTCATACTCTCCCTATTTTTCACAACCAACCACAAGGCAGTTTGTAAGGAGAAACTTGCAGTTTGTCAGTTGTATTGTAGAGCTTTATTTTCTGGTCATTCCTTCATTATTTATTTAGAAGTTTCAATAATTTTGTAAAACAATGGCACCTCATGTTCTGTCCAACCTTATTCTTCCCACCAGTTGGTCTGTATACGTGTACTTTTTGCTAAAACTATCCTAGCTGAATAATTGCACTATTTATTAATCTTTTTTTTTTAATGTACCTTTGATAAGTTCTGTTTTCTAGGGGACTATATTTTGTGACACAAAGTAAACGTTCTGCTAAAACTCCAAAACCACCACTTACCTAGTTCAGTCTTGCGATTAGCTGAAGAATGGACTGCTTTTGAAAGTACCACTGCAACAAATGACACAATCATCACATTTAATTTATCAATTTGTAAGCTCATTCTTTTGGTAACGTAACTTTAGCTTACCTATTTCTTTTGCACTGGAGTTTCTCACTAAACCATACCAGATTGAGTTTTAGCGATTGAATGTGAAAGTCCTTATGTTTTATGATCAGAGTAGACATTTCACTTCTAAGTCGTCTACTTAAAAATAAAATAAGAAGATATCAAAAAGCTTAAAATTTGTAATCCAGTGTAAAAAACTCACCACTGTGAATTCTTGGCGAGCACGAAATAGTCGAAGCCGTAAAAACTGGTCGTCCAAGTGAGCTTACTGTTTATAGGCAAACAGAATAGCTAGTTAGGAATACAATACAAGATTTAATAACAACTAACACGAGGAATCTCACCTAAGCGACCACTGTTTCGAATGCACAACCGAGAGTAAAATATGGCAGCCATTTTGTTATGATAGTCGTTCCAGCTCTCCTCTTACATAACACGCTCGGCTTCGTGCTGTTTTGCACGAATCAATGTTCCTACAGACTTCTGGGTAATGCAAAAGTTCTCATTTTGCCTCATTGTTATAAAGAAAACAGGCGAAAAAGGAATAAATTTATCTGGTATTTATTTCATTTCACACATCGTCTGAGTCATTTACCTAAGAAGTGCGAAACGATTTTCTGCACTTTCTCTCCACTCGACCTCAATGCCCCCAATCCCATAATTCAGTGCGGCAGATTTACAATATGGCGGCTCTTCTTAGGTGGGTAAATATTTTCAGCAGCAATATTTACACCGTTTATCTGTGTTTTGGGCTAAAACTCGTTTAAATTTCACAGAAACTCTGCCAGATTGTCTTCAATTTTAAGCAAAGGATGCCTTCGACCGTCATGCTTGTTGTTACGAAGGTTAGTAATAGCAGTCTGTGATGTCGCGCACGTAGGGTCAGATTGCAGAGTTGTTAATCATTTTAAGATCCTATATCTTGCTTATTTGCCCTATTTTCTCTTTCAGCACCCCAATTGCTACTTCTTCGTTGGTTTGCAAAGAAGAAGACTTTTGGTCTAAAAATTCCCGCCTTAAAAGACCCATGTCTCCGCATCTAACTATCTACAGGTGAGGTTAGATGAGCTGGAATTAGAACAAAGCTGTTTAATTAATATGAAGTGGAATATCTTTGGAGGCGAATACACACAGAGGTTTGAGTGATGTAAATAAAAAAAGCAGAAAAAGAGAGAAATGCTGGTTATAATACCTTTATAACACCATTTTAACCCCCCTCCCACCCCACCATCAATTCCAAGCATGCCTATCCCCCCTGGGCATTTGTCTTTTTTTTTTGGAAAAAGCCACAAATGCCTCAAAGTGGGGCAGGCAGATCATACAAAAACCCCACAGTGGGGCTTTAAAAAAGTGTGCAAATGCCCCACCCTGGGATACCAAAATTCCATTTTTGCATTCCATTTTCCATTTTTGCAGAGGCCCTGTTAGGGTAAACATGACCTTGAAACAGCAAGATAAGACAATGAAAGTAAATGACGCAAACGAGACAAAAGGTGATGTTCCATGAGATGATTGGCCACGACGAATTGTAAAGCAACACCGCATTGCAACATTGTTTCAAATGGTTACAACATTGTTCCAACATTGCAGCGCTGTGTGGTGTTAAAAATCGTTGTTGCGAATCTTCCTGTGTAATATCACCTGAAGATGGGTTGAAACGGCAGCAGTGGTGAAGACAAGTTCAAACGCTTTAGTAATTTACTGACAGGGACATAGCTTCCTCCTCACCTTGCAAAACAATGGGTTTTGTAATTCAGACTTGGGGCGTATGTAACCTTCCTCCTCAGATGATCCTTTTAAACTGATTTTTAACTACCAGCTCAAACTTTTAGGTGGTAATCATTTCGCTTTGCTGTTTCAAAGCAGGTAGTTCATTACTGAAAAAGAGGGTCTTAACTCTTAAGGATGTTTTGAGTGGGGTCTGGATACCCTCTCTGTGGATCAGCCCTAAAGAACAACCTGACATTTCACCGCTACATACCGGTACACATCACAGGTGTATTAACATAGTTTTAAAATAAGCTATGTGTTTTTGCAGTCTACAGTTGACCTCTATGCTTTCCATTACTCACCGTGGAACGGGAGTGGCAATGACAGCAGGTATTTGTAGATTCTGTGTCATTGAAGACTTAATGTGTAACTTGTGAAGCTATCATTCCAACAAAGGTAAGTCAGGCTGTGTTATATTTTTCTTCATCAAGAACACATCAGTGGACACAACTCAAACTGTTAATATTCAGGGACCAGTTCCTCAAAGGCCAATTATTTGTGTTCAACCATGCTTAGGGTTTTATTTCTCAAAATAATGTTGTGGCTGTCATTTTGAGTGAACATAATTCTTGTGTTGACCTTTAAGTTCAACTTCCTTTCTCACATATTTCCTATATTCTGGTCTTTTCAGTTACAGCTTCCTTTGCTCTTTGTGCACTTGTTCTGCCGGAGAATTTTGAGTTTTATTTAAACTGGGTAAAGACACTGGAAATTCCATCGTGGATCCTTTTCAGCGGAAAGACTGTACTGGCATGGCCTCTGTGCTACCATGCATTTAATGGCATCAGACATTTGGTATGAGTTAATTTTATAACTCACCTGAAACTCCTTAAATATGTTTATCTTGAAGGGTGTTCTGCTCACATATAACTCTGAGGCAATTCACTGGAAAGAGCTTCCAAAACACGCCCTAGATTGAGTGGTGTGAGTATTTCAGAATTGAGCAACTTTAAAGCACAAACTTCCTTTCCTGTTTGTGTGCAATAATATATTAGTGGAGGCAAGCTAATTAAAGGTTGGGCATCTGTAAGCAAAGTTTTTCACTTTTTACTTGAATAGTGTGTACTGAATCCTGTGTTTTTCTTTACCACAGGCTTGGGATCTTGGTTATGGTTTTGACATGGGTGTCCTGTACAAGAGTGGTTGGCTGGTATTCTTTGGCTCCATTGGAACTGCTGCAGCTCTGGTCTACTTCTTAAGTTAAACATCCTAACAGGAACACTTTATGTTTTGACTTAAATTTTATGTTAAAACGAGACTCTTTGTATTAATAGAAATGTAAGGTTGTCTTTTGTGTAACAACTGCTGTTTTGCAGCACATTTACAAACGTAGTTTTGTTGCCATGAAAACCAGGCAAAATAGGGGCTTAACCAGGGTGCAAAGAAAGTCAGTTTTACAGCCTGCCATTCGGGCAAGCTGTAGCTAGCATAAACTAGCCCACAAGTCATTTCAATTAGCCCCAAAACCCTTTTTGATTAGCAGGATTGATTACAAGGGCAAGTTAAGAACAAAAATCACTAGCCGGATAGCAAAATCCGCTAGCCCCGGGCTATCGGACCTGTCTTTCTTTGCACGCTGTTAACCCTTTAACTAAAAACCAGAATTTAAATCCCTTTCTTGTTTGTGAATCTATGCATGATTTTTAGAAGTACAAAGAAGAATTGATTCAATTACCAAGATAATTAATTTGTCTTCTGATCTAGTCATTTATTCTCTTTATTTCCAAAAGTTCATTAGCCATGAATAGCATGGGAAGAATTTTGATCCTGATCAATGTTGGGGATACAATTTTCGATTTTTTCCTGCACGGAGGGGGCAGCTGTTGAAAGGTTAATTTTTTGAACTGTTGTGGACCTCATAAATGCTGTAAATTGGCAAAAGCTATGATAGTCAGTGTTGTGATGTGCATCCTAGAGTTTCTTTTTGTGAACTGTTGTAGTTACCTGTACTGTATTAAGTGAAGGAATAAATAAATAAGGTGTGGAAGAGAGAAAAATCTCTGTTGTTGTTATTTAGTTGTAACCTTTGTACAACAGACCTCCCCTTCAATCCAGCTTGAAGGAGCAAGTGTTCGGGAATATTAAATTTTACCGGAGCTCGTTTTCACTCAAGGACTGTATCTTTCAATTCCACTTGAGAAAGAGCTAGAAAAGTTGATCGCAAAAACTTTGCATCTTTACCGTATAAACCTTGTATTTCTTCCTTTTTTTTTTTTGGGGTGCGGGTGTCCTCTTAAACGTCGCATTTCGTAAGAAAACAGGATAGTCGAAGATGTTATTTTACCAATTGCTATGCAACCGTGTCGGCATGCGTTTGAATAATTTGGGCGTGCCTTCTACCGCGTATCGCTTATTCATTTGTAGGGTTTCTTGTGAGTATAGAACGTCATATTTGGATATTATGTACAAGCAATTTAACTGCGATACCCTGAATAACATCCTTCGTTTTTGCCGACATTTGCAGTTAACGAGTAGAACGCACACGTTCAAATGTCATTGCACTTTTACACTGAAGAAGTCATGTCCAAGTTGCAGGTAAATCAAGGCGAGATTGAAAATGAATTTGGCTTTGTAGATGAAGAGCAAGACCTATCATTTCCAGGAAGTGATAAAGCGATTTGCGAACCAAAAAAAGACGACGAAACGGAGAGTTCTGAACAAGCAAGCTCCCTTCGTGATGAAAAACGGAGAGAAGAAGCAAAGAGAGTCCAAGATGAAGAGGTCAACTTCATGATGGTTTCCATTGAAAAAATTAACTTTGGAAAAGTTTTTAGATCTAGCCACTGCTCTCAACAAACGTTCATTCCTAGACCTTCTTCAACAAGAATTTCTATAAGCGATTTTTCAATTCCCAAGTTTACGATGCGACTAACAGCAAATCAAGGGAATCCGAAGCAACTGAGTGCATTGCTGGCTGCTAAACCGAAGAAAAGGAGAGTTCTAAGACCTAAACTTGAATACTGTGTACCGGGTAAAGTTACAGTTGCTGAAAGTGAACAAAATCAAAGTTCTCCTTCCAATATAACCATTTAAATAGTCAATGAGTAAAAGAATTAGGATATATAAACCACAGGATCGTGGGGAATGGTTTTTTTTTATACTTTGATGAATTCTCCCTCCTTCTTGAGAAACGAATGGAAACAGAAAGGAGGATTTAACTTTTACCCTGTAACATTTGGCATAAACAATCGAGTTAAAAAAAACTCTGACAAGTAAAGCAACGGAGGGAAAGCTCTCCCACAAAAAGAAAAAATAACAAAAAATAATTTAAAAAAAGTAATGAGAAAGTAACGTTAATATGTTTTGGTATGTAATCACTTCTTGAAAAGACTGTTGATTTGGTTCATGTGATAGGTTAGTGAGGGGAAAGACTGTCATAAATAATCACGATCAACTCAGCTTGATTGTTAAAGAGAGCAATGTGTTTCCAGCAAATACTTGATATTTAGAAAGAAACTGGTAATAAAAAAGACAGTTTACTTTTCGTTTATTGGTACTTGACAGTTATAGTTGATTCAAGGCTATTTCCTCACTCCCCAGTTCAAACTCGATGCATAACGACTCATCCACAAAATCTATCTATATTTATACACTTCATTTCCATTAAACCATACCACAATTCCGAAAATATTTTTGAGGCCGTGATCACTAAACTATTCTGCAGAAAAATTCCGGTGGTGCATGTTAGAATTCCGAGCCCCGTCACTTTTCAGAATCTGACCATATGTTTCACATATCTACATATATACAAGACGTCAGTGGTCTTTTTGTGTGGTGCAAATGGAATGATGGGGTGAGAGGCCTACATAAATACTTTATAATAACAGATCCCTGACTAAGGCTCTTCCGCTGTCAATATTCTGAATACTAAAGACCAACTACAGGAATATCCCATTATTAAAACCTAAAAGAATATTAAAATGCATAATGTACTAAGACTAGATATTTACAAACTTAACAAATAATTACAGACCTTTGCCTAAAACTTTTTTACATCAGAAATTTGCTTAATCTCGATTGGGATATTGTTAAACAACTTTACACCTCGAAAAGGAAATGATCGTAGCCTACACATCGGTAGATGTAATTCCCCACTGCGTCTAGTGTTTCTGTCGTGAATCTTCGAACGCTGAATAAATTTTCCAGTAAGGTAGCTGGGTATCTGGTCGTGAACACTCATGAACCATTGCTAGATCATTTAAAAGCAGTCTATCATTCATGCTAAGCCACATCAGAAATTTCAGGCTTTCAGTGATGTGGTCGTGGTGTTAAGCCTAAAACAATTCTGCATGCGAAATTTTGGATGAGCTTGGGCTTTCAGCCAAAATGTCCGCCTTGGGGAGTTTTCGAGCCTCCAAGGCCAGGCCGGGCCATGTATAACTGTACTATGACAAGCTTCGATTCCCCGATAGTGTGGTCTACCTCATTACGATCCATTACACACATTATTCATATAATGGCTGGGTGGGTTGAAGTAAGCTCATTAACAAATGGACCCCGGATAGCGGTTGCCATGTGGCGCCATTGTATACTGACGCCGAAGCTTACTGTTAGCATGTTAATACATACTGAGAAGTGAACATGTCCGTTGTACTCTCATCTGCGACATTTCATTTCATTCTTCCATCCATGCATGAGGTTCAGTTTCTTTAGGGCCAATAGACCTGTCCGTAATATAGAGGTACGGAAAAGGTCGTTGTATCATATAACCTCCTCACGTTTCCTTCAACTGATGCATCAAAAAGTCTTTCAAATCTGCTCGATGTGCGTTCTCAAACGCTTCAGCGAGTCTTTCTTTAATTACCTGCTCACATTGCTTGCAATCTAAGGTGCATCTGTTGTTAGTTAACCAGTTTTCCAACATCTTGCTCGCTTGAATGCGAAGTAAGCTTGACTCTTCGAAACGACCAAGGTCGGAGTTCCTGAACCCAAGGTCAAGCGCAACTGGTCTCCAGCTAAGACTTAACCTCGATGAAAGGTCAGCAACAAAATTCCTGAGAGGGAAACTGGATTTCATATCTGGTTCACCTGTTTCATCGACTGAAAGTTGTTCCTCTTTAGAAGTCTGCTCCTGATTGTCATCACTATTCGAAACTTGCATTGGACTTGATAAGAGTTCAGGTTCAGTACCTCCACTGTTTGTACACTGAGCGAACTGCATGGTGTCAGGAGTAGGATACTGCCCGCACGGCTTGGGAATTTCTGTTTCTTGCAAAGGCAATTTTTGGGCGCAATGATCGCAGTTCCTACAGGCATCTAAGAAGCAACGAGACTGAGGTTCGGGCACGATCTGTTCTGTTGAACCACGCTGTGATTCTTCACAAGAAAGTCTGCCAACGGATCTAGAGTAATACGATTCTTCAGCTGAGCATGCGTAGCTGTGTTCAGACGGAGCACTTGTGGTTCGTACTCTGCGTGTAAACGGTTGTCTTAATGTTGCACTTCCATACGAAGAAGCACGAACGGTTCTCGGTAAGTCCTGATATAATCCGAACGAGCCTTGTCTCGACGAGTCAAATCTGCGATGTGGTATTTCCCTTGCACTATTCACACTATTCTCTGATCCCATCAAGCCGGAACTCCCTTCAGATGCATTACTACCTCCTCTACTCCTTGAAAACACATCCCAGTTTTCAGAAGCTTCGCTAGTTCCGCGTCTTCGTGACCTTACAAAGGGGCTTCCTTCAGATGCACTGCTTTCCCCTCTTGTTCTATATCCTGAGGTGTCCTGCTCGGATATTTCCATGTTCCTAAGCCATCTTCCCACCACATCGGCAGCTTGGTATTGGTTCATTCGTTCCAGTGCTTCCATTAAGAGTCTGGCCGTTACCTCGGTGTGAACAGCGCACCGAGAGAGATAGTGATCTGTTTCACTATTGGGAATCACACTGGTAAAACCTATAAAACAAAGAGAAAATAAGTAAGGACTATAAGGTTCTCTTTATCTCTCTATCTAGTATGGCTGAGCACAGATGATAGGGCACACTGACTGGTCTGTTGATTGAAAGGTAGAGAGTTCAACCTTTAACCGCCCCTTGAGTGGCTCGTAGGACCACGTATAAAAGGCAGTCGGAACGTAGAGATACAATGTCCTCACTTAGTACTTGGTGGTTAATGCAATGACGGCACTTTCTGTTAGATCTGCGTAGAAATGTCGTCACTAAAGTTGCTTGTCAGCAATAGAGACCTTAAGCAGCGACGACGACGACGGCAGTGAAAACATCACTAAAAAATGAATTTACGTCCTTTCAAACTTTAAAGCGTCTATTTGGAACCGCTCAATTCGTCAAATGTAGGAGATTTTTCCTGGAGTTGAATTCTTGAGGGCTTTATCCATGTTCAAATAGAGAAGGGAAAATTTGTCGTAGTATGACCACGTCCTCCATAAAACGTCGGCGCATTGGGAGGTTTCACGTTGTAGCCGTGCAGTGGACGTCAGAGAAATGTACTAAAAAGCGTGATGCACGTGCAGAGCAGTTGTTTTGCTCATAAAAGCAATTTTTCTTTGACGTTGTTGTTGTCGTCGTCTTCGTCGTTGCTTAAGGTCCCTAAAGATCTGACGTGTGCGAAATAAAATAATGCTGAGCTAATTTAGACTACGATCGAGCAAAACGCGAGACACGCAAATGGCCACGCGCGAGACTGATGGCGCGAGGTGGGAGAGGCACGAAACAATGCTAGTACCTAACAAGCTCATGGGATCCAAGGTTTGACACTGTTGTAGTTGTACACTCAACTTAGCCTGCGTTCATAGGGTTATGAAAAAAACGGGGGCATACGAGGGGAGAGTGAGCTCTTCCCTCGCGTGTCTCCCTCGTGCGCCTGATAAGCTTCCGTCCTACGACATAAGAGGAACTGGACGCTTGGCTTAAGCTTGAGGTTAAAAGGTTCAACTGTATTATGGACAAAAACTGACACATTGACGGCAGGACTATTAAACTGTGGCTATTGTTTAAGTCTCAGTACCTGAAGGTGCCGTGTCTTCATTTTCCACCGGAACTGAACCGACTGGCAGTTCCTCTTTCAATGAACTTAAATTTGATTTACTGTCATCATCCAGGAGTCTAGCAAGTTCCCTTCTGTCCCTAAGAGTCATGTGAGTGATGTGGTCGGGGGCATAAACAAATCTCCTTATTCCACAGTATTCGACGTCCACAGCTAGTTCATTCACACCACAGCTTTCAAGGACAATTCTGGCGTTCGGTCCATTTTTCCTTAGTGCACCATGCACCTCTTCTAAAGGGTACCCTTCGAATCGTTTGCAGTGGAACATCTTAATGCTCAGAGCTTTGCGCGCAAACTCGATTCCTCCGGCAACTTCGAGAAGCAGCTCTTCTATTAGCTCTTGTACGAATATCAATGCATCGTAGCAACGCTCTTCGCATCCTTTTGGCGCCCAAACACAGATATTAACAGCTTTAAGACTTGATGACAGCGTGGCAAGAATCTCCACCACGTCATCTGCAATTTTGATGCCTCCATACCAAACTGGACTTTTGTGCCCAAACCGCTTCAGCAAACGAATTTGAAACTTTGGGAAGAAGCCAAAAGGCAGAGCGTCCATTTTGTTTTGGCATTCCAAAATGCGACCAACAACACACAGGTCTCGGCCAGAGTTCCCAGTCTGCGGCCAGACATCATCAAGGTTTGGGCGATCCTGTTCCAAATGACTGGGAAAGAGGTAGTTCTCACAGATGAGCTTTTCTTCATCCCAAGGTATACACACCTCAAAACGCACTAACAATTCCACGAGCTGGTCGAGAGGACATTCCCGAAAGGTTCTCTCAAGTTCTTGTTTCCCCACCATTCCGCTGAGTCTGTCAAAACGTAGCGTTCGAGGGAAGTTTGCTGGCGCCAGAGCGATGCCAAAAATGTGGGACGTCAGCCAGTTCACGTCTAGTACAACTTTGTCTCGAAGCTCAGGTGAATTGTCATTCACAATCTGTTATAAGATGACATTTAGGTCACGAGACGTCCTTAATAAAACGATTGGAATATAATTGTCGGCAACAAATCTTTTCTAGCAAGAGAGTTCAGGAAGAAGGAGGCTGATTTCGATGGTCTTACCCCAGCAGGACCGGATACCAAAAGGAAGGGAATTAAAGTTCCGTCTCGGGGAAGCGGGGGAGTTCCCATATGACAGAGACGGGGTTGATGTTCAGAAATTGTCCCAATCTAGGCGTGCTTCAGGCTTTATTTGACCCCTAAAGGAGACTATACCCCAACACACTATGATAGTTTACTTAGAGATATTTCTTAAAGTACATCCCTAAGCAATTACTTTACGGTAAATATATTGGCTTTCCATCCTGATAGCGTTAACTTAAGTGGAACCAAAATCTGTAAATTTTCATACCTCTAGTCGAGATGACGAGCATCCCTATCACCGTCATATGAGATTCCCCACGCCTCCCCCGAGAGGGGATGTGTGCATCGCAGAAAAAAAAGCCCTACGTAACCTACACACATACGTGTTTCAAGAATATGTTCGAAGGGAACTAATAAGAGTGGTAATACACCACTGACAACAAGAGACACATATAGGGTTTGGAATATCCGGAAAACTATAAAATGAACAGGTATTTTGGACTGGATTTCAAAACTGTATGAACAACAGATAACGAGTCACTGAATTAAATCCGCTACGTTTCATCTTCAAGCGATGAGTCGGCAAGATGGCGCTAACTCAGAATTATAATACATTCATGTGTGCTGAACCAAGTTTTCTTTTACCTCTGCACTTTCATTCAGATAGAAGGCCACATTTCTAACTCCGTCTTCGTCAGCTGTTTTGTTGATTTCCTTTACTTCTTTAACAAACTGTTCCCAGGATACCACAGGAAATGAGGACTTCTTCTTTGCCAGCGCACGAATGCGAGGCAACAGCTTTGCACACAAACGAGGCACCCGTTCAGAGTTCTGACAGATAAAAAACACGTTCTTTGGTTAACACATGCCATACGAACAAAAAGAACACCACCATAAGATTAATCAGACATTTAATGAAAGAGAGAAAGTTTTGCCCTTAAGTCAGAAGAATAAATGTACACTGACCAACATTTTTCATGTTCATATTTTTTTTTTGTCTTATCCATGTTTTTTTTTTTTTAATGGCCTCTTGGCTATCACTGAAATGTGTGTGTTTGCGTGCGTGTGGAAGCGTGATCGTGCATATGAGGGAGCGGAGAGGTGACCAGAGCATTTCTTTCATCTGGGTATAGTTTTTATCGCATACCTTGATTATCTTATCACGAAGTTCACTGAGGCATCTCCGCAGAGCGTCAAAATCCATGTTGCTAGGGTCTGTACAGTTAATCACCATCACTTTGGGATAAAAATTCATGTAAGCTTGGAAGCTTTCCAAAAACATTCGAAAATAGGCGTCCGCTCTGACGCGTGGATCTCCTTCTATCGTATCAGGGTGAGTGGCGACCAGAACAACTTCAGGGCGATAACGAAGAAAGCCGTGTTTCGTCTCCCTCGCCTTCAACATCCCTAGATGATGAAACAAGTTATTCTCGACTTTGTCGTCTGATTTACTCAGATCAAACAGGACCAGAGATATGGATGTCCTTTTGCCAATGAAATACTCATTACTAGTGAATGCCCATGAATGTCCTGCCATGTCCATTTTACGAAACACGCCCGCCCCGGGCACGTCTATGATGCCCACTTCAATCCCAGCAGTCCTTGAGGCCATATCCTGACTGGTGTCTGGATGATCACGCCTACGCATGCGCTGAAAAGTGCTCAACTGCAGGTTTTGTATTAGTGTTGTTTTACCAGCATTAACAGCACCGCAGACGTTCAAAGTGACATAAGAAGGTGGATCTGAGCCATCTTTGAGCAAAGAGCAAAGGGCTTTGTGGCTCTAGAAAAGCAATTTAGATTGGTGAGGTCAAAAGATTTACCCATCTTGATATGTAAGGGTTAAGGAGGAAGAATTAGAAAGAAATGACAACGTCATATTTCACGGCACATGACGTCATTTGTGAAAAAAAAAAAAAACGCGCAGGAAAGATGCTGTTGGAATTGTAACATTTGACCTAATTGGTTTACTTCCTACCAATCACAATATTGATTAAATTACAACAGCATACCCGAGTTTGTGGGAAAAAGTTTGATGTTCACAGTAAAATACCTCAAACAACACAAAATATTTGAAATTTCATTGTCAGAAAGTCAAATCTTCAAGGAATGGCACATGACGTCATTTGTGAAAAAAAAAAAACGCGCGGAAAAGATGCTGTTGGAATTGTAACATTTGACCTAATTGGTTTACTTTCTACCAATCACAATAATGCTTAAATTACAAAGGCATACCAGAGTTTGCGAGGAAACGTTCCATGTTCACAGTAAGGTAGCTCAAACAACGCAAAATATTTGAAATTTCATTGTCAGAAAGTCAAATCTACAAGAAATGGCAAACTTCGGCGATTATCCGGGAGATTTCAGACTCTAATCCGGAGACTGGGAGAAACGGTTCAAAATCTGGAGTCTCCCAAATTATCCGCGAGAGCAGACAGCCCTCAGAGTACATATATAGAGTAGTTTGAGGGTAGGTAATGAAGGAGTCACATGATCTATTAAGTGGCACAATGAGGCATTTAATAAAGAGTGTACTACTTGAAACGACTTCCTTTTAGCAGACAAGGGGAGGGAGTACCCAGAAAGCAAAGCCAGTGATTTCAACTTGCAGTCAGTTATCTCCCTATGGGTTATTCCTTGAGAAATTCATTTGCTAGTACGCCCCATTTGTAGATTAGCCCCATGCGAGTGGGGGGGGGCTTACCCGCTGATATTCCCTAGAAAGAGGTACAGAATAATGGCTAGAAACAAAGAGAGCATGAATATACCTTTAAAAGCTTCACAATGGTCAGATGTTTGTTCATTTCTGCCCATTTCTCAGCATCCCACACCTGTTAGCAACAAAAAAGAAATGTGTGGAACATTAAAGTTTACAACCTTGTTCTTAATATTATATTCAACAAGTATGTGGCAGAATATCACACTTCCCACCTACCTGATTTCCTAGTGTAGATACAGCATGAAGATCTGCCCCTAAATCCAGAAGGACAATGCAGGTCTCAGCATGACCACCTCTTGCTGCTCGAATCAATGCTGTGAAGCCGTACTAAAGCGAGCAAGACAAACAAAGAATGTACAGTATGAAGAATGTCGACATTTTTTGCACAAGGCCTAATCTCCAAAGGAATAATCAAGATAAACTCACAATATCTTGGAGATTGATCTCAGCCCCCGCCTCCAAGAGCAGTTTGCAAGTGTCTGAATGGCCATGATCAGCTGCCCACATCAATGCTGTTTCACCATCCTAAAATAATTATTATAATATTATTCAACTATTTATAACACATGAACACCCAAATGTGAATACAGTACATTAATCACTATATTTCAACTGCCAACTCAAAAACCAGGTTTGATCATAACATTCACCACCCAGAAAGATCTCCTTAAATGGAGTGTGCACCTGTTCCCTTAACAATGAGACCCCGTCTTACAAATACAACCACATTTTCAAGGCCCTTTCAGGGGTTGAAAGAACCTTGAATTTCAGCTTGTCCTTTTGGTAAGCAGCTCTTACATTTTTCTTGCCTGGGGCCACTTGTTGTTCATCTTAGTTAATGATTTTGCTAGAGGATGATTTCCCTGAACCTTTGCCCATTGGCCAAGTAAGCTTTAAAAGTTTCTTGCCCAGCAAGAAAATCTACTTGTCCCACACAACCAGACAGGACTTTTTTCAAGTCCTGCTCTTTGCAGAGTCTCTGATATTTCGCGCAGCAGTGGAGCCACGAAGTTCGCTAGAAATCTTATCAAATACATGTCTAAATGACATATTTGAAACTTATCTTGGCTACTGGGGCTATTTAATTGCCGTAAACTTCAACACCACAATGCACGACCAATGTTAAAAAACTACCAGGAGTAAAACTGGGCACTAGTCAAGATGTTGAAAGCTTTGCAATTTTCTCTTTGTTGTTAAAATAGCAGATGATTATCTCCGTTAAAAAACTTTAAGCATGCATTGCTCGTCAAATCAGCGCAAAATCAATCAATCGGCCATTTTTTACCAATTGTGAAGTTAGCCCTGAAAATTTCCGCAAAATTCCCTTGAAATCAGCTGATTTTTCCACCAATCTGTCTTGGAAAACCCAGGAAAATTTGCCTTTTTTTCCACGACCTATGAGAAGCCCTGTCCTTGTTGGTGGACAAAATAACAGATTTTACTTTACCTTTGTTTGAATGTTGATGTTTGCTCCTTTGGACAACAGTAATTTACAGGTTTCACTGTGTCCATATCGGGCTGCTAAAATGATTGCTGTGAAATGGCTCTTTAAAGAATCAAGTAATATCAGTGAATAAATTAGTTTATACATTGAAACTGCACTTCCAGAATTATTTTAATGGTGCTTCCACAATACTATGGAGCCATAGCTCCTATATTGATGTGCCAAGCATATAGACGGGGAAAATACATATTTAAATATGTATATAATGGGTTTATTTCTCAGGTGATAGCTACGCTATAATGGATAGCCATGTGCCGACATGAAAAGTTATCTGACACAGTATGAAAGGCAATGATCTAGAACTAGAACAAGTCACTCACAGACACTGAAAATCATACTGGAGGGCTTACAATTGGCTATTTCATGAGTGGGTTTGGTGCCTTAATCCCAATCCTGAAATTAACTGTTATTAAAAGAGTTGAATTTTGACCATGTCCTGCAACACATCATTAATTTTGTTAGAACTTAAAACAGCAGACTAAGACCAATTATATACTGATGTACTGAGCGAGTCTAGTTGCACTAAGCTTGAAGGGATAGTGGGGTTGAGTTGAAGGAGTTTAGGTTTCCTATCACGTACAGCTCTTTAGTCAGTAATAACTTAGTAGTTCCCAAAACATACCGCAGTACATGCATTGACATCAGCACCATGCTCCAAATACAGCTGACAAACCTCTGTCATGCCAGACTTGGCAGCTTGCATTAATGGAGTCCTGAGCCACTGAGTGTGTGAAGACCAGATTAATCATTAATAATTACAGATCAGCAGTAACAAATCACCTGTTCAGGACTACATGTACACTCACATGGACAAATATTCAACCTCACTTACTTATGAATATTTTCATTAACATAATATTTCCCCAAAACCACAAAACTGTGAAAATTTGGTATCAGTCTTTCAATCCAGTGTGTCCACTTATTACCCAAATGCAAAACTGACAGACAAAAAATGATCATAGGGAAGGCTAATCCAGTCAGCTGAATAAGTTGAACATGCACTTACTAGTTTTCTACCAGCTTTCCAGTTCACGTTGGCACCATTACGGAGTAACTCTTTACATCTCTGAACATTTCCTTTTTCTCCACAATAGAACAGTTCTTTGCTTAACTTTTCCTGTAACAAAACATGACATTGTTATGGTTTCTATCACTTTCACTGTCAGTTCTTTAAAGCTTGCAGACTTTTTACCCTGATTGCTTACCTGAGTTACCGTCACTTTCATGTCTGGAGAAAACTCTGTGATGTGGCCATCCTAATGTATCCTCTTAAGAAGTATTTTCATGTGATACCATTTGCTTTTTCCATATTTAACATTTAATGTACTTTGGTAGCTGGCATAACTTTGGCTCTAAGTACTACTTGAAGTGAAGATCTGGAAGATCTTAATAGTGAATACTAATTTATGCATTTAATAATAGTGCCCCTAAGCTTTGATCATGTTTATTTAAGGCATCTGTCAAGCTTTACACTTATTTTCTGGAACGCTTTCTTATAACGATGACCAGGGGGATTCCTTGGACACAATTTTGACAGTATTTCGGCGAAACACACAACCTAAATCAATTCAGCAATTTGCCACTTGATCAAAACAGCATAACTCCTGTTCAGCTTTCATTCCCTCTTCCGAGGTTATTCCTCCAACCACCCCCATCCCTCCCACTTGTCAACTTTGCGCATTTAATACTCCCCCCTGTCACCCTGTCTGAAGGGTCAGTGAACAGTTTTCATTTCTTGTCATAAGCCAGAAGTTGCCGAAGAAATTTCATCAGTGACTACAGCTTTTACTGTTCATTAAGAGAAAATACGCATTCATTTCCGCGAAACGGCAACCAACAGCGCGAAGATACATTCATTAGCGCGAAAAAGCGAACATTTGTGCATGAATCAGATTCAATAACAATTTTTGCATTTAAATCAACATTCAATAACATTTTTGGGCATTCATTTGAGTCATTCGACATACAAAAGAGAAAAATAAACTTTCATTAACATCAACATTTGGGTTATTTACATTATCTGAAAATCATTAGGGACAATAGACAAGCATTTAAGTGCAAACGCTATTCATTAACATTTTTATGACACTGTTTGCAATTCCACAGCATTCCTGGACAGCTTTAGAATGGATAAGACAAACATTAATGCGTTTGTACAATCAATTGAGCGTTCTTTACATTTAATATACAAAAATCTATTTTCAATTAAACAATACCAATTCCCTGCCAAAATTGGCCTGACTTTGTTTAAAGAATTACCCCCTACTTTGCCACTGCGTGGCTGTCGACGGCTGTGGCTATACAGTTACCCCAGACGGCCAGATGTCATGGTGGGGCGCGACAGGGAGTGGAGTGCGTACCACCGAGTGTGCAGCCAACGAGGACGAAACTTGACCATGGCAATATCACCCATCAAATGTTTTCCTGGGTAGCTGCTGGAGTAATGAATACTATGTCGGTTTTTTTTCTGGCATGGGCGAGGAAAAAATGGATTCCGATAAGTAGGTGGTCTTTGTGTATGACGGGGTGCAGGGCTGCAAATAACGGCTGGTCAACGGACAATGTCCGGCCTGATCGCGGACTTGACCGGTCAAACTCCGGTCTTGCCGGTCATTTTTGGATACAAACACTTTATTTTCCATACAGTTGTCGCTTAATGCTCTATAATGCTGCAATGATTTCTTTTTTCTTTGGCGTTTTTTGCTGCTTCGCACTAAACCCTTCTAAGAAAAAGAACGCCGCAATAAATTAATTTCATGTCGTCATGTCGTAATCTAACGCAACAAAGTGAATAACAAACTGAGTTGGAAAGTAACGCAACGTTGCAAGTCGTACTGTACTTTCGGCTTTACTGTAATCAGCAATGTGACCTTTGGGAATTCAAAGGAATTCAGGCAAATCGATCGCAATTCTCAACAGGTCGTCCTCTGTTTCTCCGGGAATAAAATGTTAGCACATCGATTAATAATAATTTCTTTTACGTCGAACATGAATCTCGTTTGCAGACTCGATTCCAGAATGGTCTGATAAAAATTTAAGCTACTCAAGAGGGAAGGTCGTCGTCTATCGCGGCGCTAGATTCTCGTTCTTGTAAACAACTATGCAAATTTCTGTTGACATTTGAGCCCTTCGCGATAAAATGTTGCGCGATGACCCAGATTTATTTATTGACTTCTGATCATCAACACGCTCTTTGTGGAACAAACTTCTCGCCAATGCAAATCAACATCTTTGCCGGAAATATCAGCGACGATTCTTCTTTGAGGAAGTGACTTGCCAGGCAAGGAAAAAGATCAAGTTTCACCGATGTTCATTTCGGAACATCAACGTAAAACAAACGTGTGCAGATTTTGTAAAATAACCCAATTTTTTTTTTTTTTTTTTTCGTAATTTCTAAAGTTTGCTGAACTGTATGTATATTCCGTTTCCTGAACCTTGGGAGTTTACGCTTCACTTTTTACCTCTAGAGACTTCAGACGCCGCCGTGCAATGATACTCAAGGTAGAACGTAACATTAAAACGCACGAAAACCGCGGAAAGGAACTCTACAACGTGCGAATGCATTTTTCACCAATTTGCTGTCAAATATGTGAACGTCAACGTAGTAATAACGATCTATTGCCAGCATAATTGGATATTCCTTAGGCAAAAAAAAATTATTAGTATTCATTATTTGACCGGCCAGAATCGGGGTTTGTCCGGGCTAAAAAATATCTGGCCAGTCATCATGACCGGCAACCTGCTGTCCGTTATTTGCAGCCCTGGGGTGCCAGCCCACGTAGATTTGGCCATTCCCACCCCATAAGTACACAACTTATGCTTTCCCCCTCGACATCGTTGAAAAGGATTTAAGTTGCCTGAAAGCAACACCAAAGGCCGACATCTTGAGTCCTGAAATTCAAAGATGTATATCAGGAATGAGGGCAAAGCCCTAGCAATCTCACTAGCAGAGTTCAGAAACAACAACTACAGTGCTTTAAAGCTCTGCCCCGGAACATGACATTGCGACTGCAGCTAAATGTGCTAAGGGGTACCATTTCATGCAAACCTACCTCCCAAAATGTTTAAATAGCAAAGTTTTTTAGGGATATACATTTAACGGACTGAAATTCGGGCCAAATTTGTTTGAATTTCTATTGTTTAATTAAAAATCGTTTTTTGCATATTAAATGTAAAGAACACTCAATTGATTGTACAAGTACATTAATGTTTGTCTTATCCATCCTAGAGATCCTAAGGTTGTCCACAGGAATGCTGTTGAATTGCAAACAGTGTCATAAAAATGTTAATGAAGAGTGTTTGCACTTTAATATATGTCAATTGTCCATATTGACTTTCAAGATGGTGTTTATGACTTTGATGTTGGCGTTAATGAAAGTATATTTTTCTGTTTTGTTTGCCCAATGACCCATATGAATGCCCAAAAGTGTTATTGAATGTTGATTAAAATGCATAAATCGTAATTGAATCTGATTTATGCGCAAATGTTCCTATTTTCGCGCCAATGAATGTATCTTCGCACTTTTGGTCGCCGTTTAACGCAAATGATTGCGTTTTTTCTCGTAATGAACAGTAAAAGGTGTAAATTCGACGTTTACATAATTCACTTCCTGAAATCATATTAGACAGAAGGCAGTTAGTTATCGCCTCGAGGAGAAGAAAGCTAATCAAAACCGCACCAAATTAAACACGCACAGTTGAATATGTGCAAATAAGCTACAATTCAGTGGCTGTTGGACCTGATTTTGACCCCCAAAATTGCAAATAACATCTTATAAGCATAGTATAAAGCGACATACAATGTTATAGTATCACTACCTGAAACATTTTAGTAAAAGTTTTTTAAAAAACTAGAAATCTCAAGCACTTGCCTTGCTCTCGTCTGTTGGTAAAGACTCGCCTTGTTTAGATCCTTCAGTACTACTCATTACTGGTTTCTTTCATTCCAGCTGCTTCGACGAGGTATTAGATCACAAGAACAATTCCGGGTCAACGGATTTTCTAAGTTAATCATGCTAACACTGTCGCATTAAAAACAAATAGAAAGACTCTCGGGGACTCTCGGACGCGTACCGCCGCAGCTAAATTTAGCACGTTCTGAATCGAATCTGACGTCAGTCGGGGAAGGCCCTGAGACCTGACACCGTAAAGTCAAGGAATCACCAATTGCAGACTGGAGCGAAAAATGTCGTAAGGAATAACTGCGATATTTAGCCCCAGTCGAAAGAAATGCCCAAAGCTTTCGCATTGAAGGAAATTTAATTAAAAAACACCTAGATGTAAAAGGGAGTTCCAAGAAAGATAAAGTAAATTACCTTCCGAGAAGAACGGGAAGTCAAGTTTCTTTGTTTGTTGACAGCCATAACACTCAACGCCCATAAAAATCATTTGAAAATTCCTAATGCGGAGTTGTTTTTAAAGAAACTTCAATTCATATCTCACTAAACGTTAAACGATGACTCAGCCTTGAATTGCTCGGAAATTACTTTTTATTTTTATTTAAATTTGGGGAAAATTTCATTTACAACCCGGCACCAGCTCACCGGTACAAATTGCGGAAGCGCCAGAAAAATAAAGTAATGAAGGCAAAGTTCGTATTAAAAACTTTCATTTTCAGTGATGCTCAACACGAAACGAGAAATGGGAATACAAATAATTCATGTCCGCTTGACAATTCGAAAGTGAAGTCAACAGTCTTAAGAAAACAGGGGCACCCAACGAGAATATAGTTCAAAACCACTTAAACATAGAATTGTTAAACGTATTTTAGTATTTAAACGGTAGATATAGGCATATTTTTATCCCCTAAAAAGTTTTCATCTGTTCGGATTTCCTAGCTGAAAGTCAATTGATCCGAAAATTATAGGGATCAAAAGTTACCTTTTCGAAAATTTTAGCCAGAAAAAAGGCTTCCGAAAATTCTAGGTGTCCTTTTTAGGGTAAAAATCCGTTAAAAATAGGCAATTATACCATTTTTTAGATGTCCGAAAATCCTAGGAGAGGCTGGCAAGCAAGAAATTTTACAACAAATGTTCCGAAAATTCTAGATCTCAAATCGTCTTCCGAACAGATATTTTTCCGAAAATTGTCGTTGGGTGCCCCTGAGAAAAAAAGTTATACAAGCAATTTCCAATAGGCCTTGTCATAGTTTTCGACGCCATCTTGACGAGTAGGCAAAACGTGTATGAAATTACAGTGTTTGTATGAGAATCTAATGTGGAATAATTTCCGTAAAACGGCTGTTCTGAAAAAAATATCAATTGTAAACTAAAGCTACAAAGCAAAGGATTGTACTAAAAAAATTGGGGGGAGCACCTACCAGTGTTTAAATTTCTCCAGAGGCTTGCTTTAGATTTTCCATATATTTGCCTGTAATTTTTCCCGAGACTTTCTTACAGACAAATGTATAGAAAATTTTAAAAAGTGCTTATAGGTCTTCTTTTTTTCAGTAGAATCCTTAGGAGTGAATCTTTAGTTTACAATTCATATTTTTTCAGATCAGCTGTTCTACGGAAATTATTCTACACTAGATTCTCATACAAACACAGTAATTTCTCACGCGTTTGCCTACTCGTAAAGATGACGTCGAAAACCGTGACAAGGTCTTTTTGTCACTACCCGAAAACTCACCAGAAATTCCCCTAACAAAAAACAAACAAACAAGAAGAGGAGGGGAAGGGCAGATGGAAGTCCCTACACATGCATCTTGGTTTTTTTCTGTTTTTTTTTTTGGCTTGTACATGCTACAGGAAAGCTAAGCTTAGGATGCACCGTCCTTCGTAAAATACAACAATCGCCTGCAACAAGTTTCTTTTTATGCAGTTAAAAAATTTGGTTTGCGTCCGCTACGTATGATTTCCGCCGCGAAAAACAGAAGTAAAAACATCTCGCGCGCAATAATGTTGCAACAACGTTTCCTAGTTAACTAAGCATAAGCTTTTGGGAGTCTTTCGGGCGGCTGTTTAGCAGAAAAAACAATTGAGAACTGTTTTCCTTGACCGCAAAAAACATTTGAATCTTAGCATAAAAACAACATTAGGCAAAAATAATCGGAGGCAGTTCATTTATTAAGAATCATATATGTCCTATATAGCTAAATGCGAACAGTGTTAAACTGATCGCTAGAGCTTTTCACTACGCCCTGTCTAGCTTCTGTTTAGTGATACAAAACCCAAGCAAGGCTTCGCCCCTCGGAGTTTATTCAACTCGCCGCTGTTAAAAGGCAAACGTTAGCCATCCTGCCATGAGAAGACATCCACCCACAGGCGCTAACTTTCCAAATGACTTGTCCCGTGTTATTCCAACAATGTAACAACTGAAAAAGAAAATATGCCTTGACTTGCAACAGCGTAGGTGAATGGAAGGAAAAGACAAAAAAGCGAGAGGGCTTTACAGTAGCTGCATTATTTTGCTTTCTAAGGTCAGTATTGCCTTTTTCCTAGTGCAAAAAATAGCTTTGGGGGTTTTGGCCCGTGCAGAAGGTAATATATCGAGTGTTGGACAAGAACGAGACATTGCAAGCTTGACCCTTCTTTTTTGGCTTGTTTTTCGATTTTTTACCTGTTTGCCAGGCTTTTACTTGGATTCACTCCTGCAGGAAACACTTTGCAAAAAAAGCCAGTAATTCTTAATATAAGTGCAGGTGCATAATAAAGCAAGATATTTATTCGAATTTGCTTGTCAAAGTTACATGATTTCTTTTGTGTATCTCTAGCCTGAACCAGGAAATCATGTACTCCAAGCATGGTTTGAATGACTTCTTTCTCCTGCACTTTTTCAGAGTTGTTTTTAACAATACAAACTGATTATCTAACAAGTCCTACAACAAATGTAGTTCTGGGTGGTTTTTACCCTGTGAGCAGGGGTTTCTCTCATGCACGGCTTTTAGCTTTTAGGAAGTTGTCCACATCGCTTCTACAGTCGTTTTGTTTGTTTTATTTTTATACACCCCTTTTCTCCTGGAGCATATAAAACAAACCTACTACGTGACTGACAAGTGACATGAATGACTTCAGGGCGCAAAGAAAGCCAGTTTTACAGCTTGCCATTTGGGCAAGTTGTAGTTAGAATGTACCAGCCCAAGAGTCACTTTATATAGCCCGAAAAAATTTTATTGATGAGCAGGATTGATTACAGTGAATTCCCCAAAAAACTTTACCTGCCCGTTGTGCAAGTTGAGAACAGAATTCATTAGCCCAGTAGCAAAATCCACCAGCCCTGGGCTATTGGGCACCACTTTCTTTGTACGCTGGACTCGGTAAAAGTTAAAAGCCATGCAAGAGAGAAACTTCTGCTCGCAGGATAGGTGGTTTCAGGCTTCAATTCAATGAAAATAAGTGCGTCATGTAAAGTGTTCCACTATATTATTGAGTCTAATTTCAACAATATACCAACATACATATACCCTACCTTCCCGAGAACAAAATAATCCCTGTGCACATCAGACTGCCAAACTATTACAGAACATAAGAGATAAAAAGAGTCTGAGTAAATGTAACAATAGTTTTAAATGATAGGAATTTTATTTTTTGTCAAATAATAAATGAGTTTCTTCTTACCAGAATTGGTCTTTTGGCAAAAGGGACCGCCAATAACGCAAGGTTATGCAGATGATGGTAGAGGTTTCCTGTCATGAATGTCTGATAACGAAAAACAGATTTTAAAACATTTAAAAATGTTCCAAAACTGACTCTATACTTCATGGTCTTAATAGAATTAAGTACAATTTCCATCTGCATGTTCTCTATCTCTCACGGTAAAGGTAGGGAGAAATTGCTTAAAAAAGAAATCTATATACAGGGCTCCTAAAAAGTGCCGTCTGGCAGTTCAGGACAAGTAGATTTTCTTGCTGGGCAAGAAACTTTTAAAGCTTACTTGGCCAATGGGCAAGAGTCCAGGCAAATCATCCTCTACCAAAATCATTAACTAAGACAAGCAAGAAGTGGCTCCAGGCAGCAAAATGTGAGAGCTGCTTACCCAAGGGACAACCTGGAATTCAAGTTTTTTTTCAGCCCTGATTATATCTTACTGCCAAACACAGAAAACCGTGAACGGCTGAAAAATTTTCGAAATGTTGATTGTGTAGTGACCAATCACAATGAAGTTCAGGACGTGAGCAAACCACAAAACCACAAACTAACTACTGCTGCTGTTTGCAGTTTAGGTTTCTCACCCCTTATTGGCTTTCTCTTCACAACACTGAAAATAACATTCCATGAATATTTCTGGTGTTCACGGTTTTGTGAGTTTCACAGTAAGTCATGATTTCCGTTTTTCTGGATGCCTACATGTCTGATAAAGCAGTGAAATTTTAAGGAGAAATTTGTCGATATCCACCAATAGGAATTTTAAAATGGTTAATGATGTGAACCACGCCTAAGTACCCAAGTCAAAGCTAATCAAGTCATTGCTTGTTCACTAGATAGTTATTCAACCAGGGCATAGCAGTGACCACATTTTCAGCAACGAGATTTACACATTTTTGGTAACGTGAACATCAAAACGATGACCAAACATGATCAGGGGAGCCATTAAAGTGGGAAAAATCTACCACAATTTTCATTCCATTCTAACCTCATCTATTGATTTGCTGACGGATAACAGGTTTTCTTAGAAGCAATTAATTCTCTACCTCCTTAAATTTCTTTGCAGATTCTTGATTCATTGATAAAGCTACAATAAAAAAAAAACATGAGACCTGAGAAAAATTATGTAACTTCCTGTAATAATAATTAACAATTAAATATTAATAATATTAATAATAAATATGAAGACCAGAGAACTGAAGCGCTTTTTGATCCGTCTTTTGTCAAAATTATAACAGTCGTATTGTTAGTCAAACTTTCAGTTTTTCCAGACACTTTTAATATTGCCAGTTTGCTTCAGTTCATCAACAAGTCTTTTGTTAGATGCTGGTACAGTCAAGGTAGACTACGATTCAGCGGAGTTTGTTCTAAGTTAGTAAACCAGCTCTGTAAAGTAAGTAGTTGGTAGTATTCTGTTGAATAGAGTTCAAGTCAATATGATGGTTTGTCTGTAAATGGTGCTCAGCAATTTGTGATTGACAGTTGACAGCACCATACAAGAAATTTGCTCGTGTGTTCAGTCTCACCACTGAAAGTGGTTAAAAACAAGAAAATGGACATAATTTAAGCCAAAAAAAATACCGTGAGCTCCATAGGCTCCTAATGCAATGGCAAGTGCTCCAGAAACACTGGCTATTTTTTGGAATAACGAAGGAGAGACGGCCGCCATCTTTGAAGATCGAAAAGGACTAGAAATGAGCTTAGAAATGAGTCAGCACAAAACCTCCGCAGCGGTGATGCTTGTGAGTGAATGCGCCAAGATTTGGCGGGAAATCAACATGGCGGACGAAGAAGAGCTTTACTTGGCAAATCTTGATGAGTTTGTGAATGATGAAGAAAAAATTGTGAGTGAATTGACTTGAATTTAACAGTAATATTTAATCCGAGTATTAGTAAGATTTATATTTATGATGAGTGATATTTTCTCCGGTTTTTTGTCTTTAGGTCACCTATAAATGGCTAAGTCGTACTTTGTCTGTGCCAGCTAACAAGGCAAAACAGTAAGCTATCTCAAACGTGGGCGCCAATTTACCACGGGCGTAGAGGGAGGTAAACGAGGTAAACATTGTTGTGAAATGCTTAAACAGATTCCCTTTCTCTAAACTTTAAGTCTTCTAAAAGTCTAATTAGTGACAGGGAATCTGTTAAAGCATTTCACAACAATGTTTACCTCCCTGTTTACCACGTTTACCTGCCAGTCTACAAGTCTCACCCGCCCTCTACGCCCGAAGTACACAATACATGAGGAAAAAACGAAATTAATAACCTTTTTAATTTTGCAAAAAAAAAAAAAGAAAAAGAAAGACAAGGAAAAAGGAAAAAAGAGAACTAAACATAACCAAATAAAGTGCTAGTCACTGACTTTTGTTTCAATGAGGTTTAGGGGTGGGTTCGAAGGGGTAGTGGGGTGAGTTTGGGGAGAGGAGGGGTTGCTTGCCCAGTACTTGCATATGTAACATGTAGATGATTATAATCCCCTTTAGGGTATATATGATTTTTTAAAAATTCAATGGCTGTTCTGATGAGGAAGCAAAACTCATATGTAATGCAGCAGAAGAAAGTCCTACATGTTAGTGCGGGTTTTCAAATCTGAAATACGGTCCATTAACCCTTTGACTCCTGAGTTTTTCTGTAATATTGCTTCAGTTTTGACATACATACACTAAATAACATCTCAAAAGTTCCCTTTGAGGTAAGAATACCCATAATCGTACATATTTAGAAAGTAGACATATCAGGGTTTCAAATTATATATACATGTATTAAGTTAATGTTTGCTGGGAGAGCTGTTTGCCTTTAGTGGTCTCTTACAGTTGACACTGTACATCTTGTGGCCACCAAAGCACCCACTTCTTGACCACCATACTGTGTATCTGCATGCTCAAGCTCTGAATTGTTGTCCATTTAAGGTGGCTCCCTAGGGTATTTACTAATAATCCGAGCTATCAAGCATACGTTACAGAAGGAAATCTAGTTACTTTGTCTTTGCGATTTTGTTCACGAGATTCACCGCTAAGGTTACCCATATAAGAAGGCTCCTTTATCAAGTTTCATTTTCTATATTAAGGCCGTTGCCATGGAAACATCGCATCCTTAAAGAGGCAGTAATTTTGTCATTTTTGCCCATTTTTCCTTGATAGTTCTAGTTTCCCGCGGTGAAATGTCTTTAAACTTTGCCACTTCATATTAACGATATTGCTTAACATTTTAAAGTGGAAAAAACATGGGGTCGTTAAGACGGTTTTGCCAATATTTTGAAATTTGTAATTTTTCTTAATAGAGGAGTTTAGCTCTTACAGATTTTGACAAAAAAATGACATTACAAAGGTAACACCACTGTTAAGAAATGAGGCGATTTTAAAAATAATTTACCAAGGAAACGCGAAAATTCACGGTTAATTAACTGCGCTGACGTCACAAAAATCCGAAAAAAAAACGCGTGGTTCGGGTCGTGTGAGCAAAATACACGCCACGAGCCGTCACGCCCGCATCGCATGATGCATAAAGCTACTGAAAACATGTGGTTTCTTTGAAGAGTACGAAAGCCATTTTTTTTTGAAGCCGTTTATCAGTATCATTACGGTGATATCTCCCCAGTTGAAAAAGGAGGGATAGCGGTTCAATTTTATACCTAACACAGGATGTTTTCTTCGAAGTACTTGACTATTGTAGCTAAAATTCGAAGCGTGGTGGTCACTCGTGAGGATGGCGATCGTCGGCGATGAAGACGGTGGTTGTGCAAGGATCGCAACAAGCCCTTCATTTCCTAATCTGCTGTACACTGTTTGCCGATCTTCAAATGTTAGCCCACTTCCGGATACTTTTTCAACCTTGTTATTCCTTAGGGATAATTTCGACGGCGAAGTTTTTCTTTTAAAGTCTGCTGTAAAAGATGGCGCCGATCTATATTTAATCGTATATCATGTCTTCAGCTACATGTACAAGACCGTAGGTCTTGACGGACAACTATAGCTTTCGTCAAGGGTCAATCTGTGAGTAAAAATTATTTCTCGTTGTGCAAAAACATTGTCCATTTACTTCGACTATTTAACGTTTGTCTTCTTTTGAAGCGAAAGAATTGATGTCTTTGGAAAATTTCTGCTTTGTTTTTACATACAATTTACTCTTTTGAGGATCGATATTGACTTGTAACAAGTGTAACATTGTCTCCTCTCATAAATGTTTGACCTACACTAATCAAACTTTTTGCACAATGAGTTTCAATAGAAAGTTAATAAAGTTTTTTTGGGGGAATATTTCAAAACTGAGAGGCCATGTTTGTTTTAATTTTTGCGTGGACGTCGCGCGGATTTTAAAGCTCGCGCCATAGTAGTGCTCAGGCTGCGCACGGCCAATTTACTCTAGGGAGCCACCTTAATCGGACTAATCTTCACCTAACCTGAATCATCGCTAAAATCCGATGCTTCGAATATAGGTCAATCAACCCCATTCTTGTCTAACATCGATTTTAAAGGTTATCATTAGCACAGTGAGGAAATATTGCCAAAAAGTTAGTCCAAAATGGCGAAAAACCGATTGAAATTGAATCATACAATAAATAACTTCATATAAGTTACATAAAGTGTCATTTGATAAAATATGGAGCCTTTTGGGGTCTTTTTTGGGACAAAATGTACATCTTATTTGGAAGCGCACGGAAAAGCACGCTCAGGAGTCAAAGGGTTAACAAATCACCCTGTGACCAGGCTCTGATGCAGCAGCAGATTGGTTATTAAGTGATGGTTGATATAAAATGTTTGATTTCAGGATAAATACCACAGCTGTGAAGTGACAAATTTTCATTTCACAGCTGTGGTATGTATTGTATTACTAGTATTATTATGTGGGAAGGATGCATTTAAAGCAGATTCCCAAATAGCCCTTAAAATAAACATTGAACCACAACATCTACCAGTCAAAATACTTTCCATCTTGGATATAGCTAACTTAGTCCTTTCCTTGTGTCCGCAGAATGCTTTATGCCTTCGTACAGAAGCAAAAGTCACGAAACTCTTCTCAACTCACCATTACATACATTGTTGGTGGAAGATGTTTACTGGATGGAGATACAGTAAGCTGTATTCCTTGTTAATCTCAGTAGTGATGGTATGATAAAAAAGAAGTGAAAAATAAGAGGGAAAGAGAACAATACTATGATATTTTTAGCTGAACGTTGACAACCCGCCTCTTTGTATTAGGGCACAGTTAGATCAGAATGAGGCTTCAACATGAAAGCTTCTAAATATACTTGATCACATTGTGGTTAACTACATTTTGTTATACTGTAGGTTCAACGCTATGTCATAACCCAAGATAAAGATCTTGAAGGTATATTATAAGCAAACCATCAGTCTCCGTGCTCAGTTATTTCCATTATCAAAATGCATGTATTTATAAAGCATACTCGAGGTAAACTGTTATATATTTTCTTATTTCAGAGACTAAAAAGACGTTCTCTCCCGTGACGTCTTTACACATTTACAGTGTGCAAAAATGTAGATTAAAAGTAAGATGTATTCTGTGTCTTTACTTCTACAAAGAATAATGGGCAGCTTATACAATATGGGTAATCCTTACTGCTGTCAAATAAGTTTTTTGGGGGGTCAGGTGAGGAATGCATAAAGGGGTGGTGGTAGTAGGAGTAGGGGGGGTATATGATTGAAACTAGTTGATGGCCCAGCCATTTTTAGGAGTTAGGAGGAAATACCAGACTTTTAGTTGCCCTTGGGGATTCCCCAATCAGAAGGATGGGTTCTTGAAAAACAAAAACTCAAAAGGGGTACGACAATCTCATTTTGTGGGTGTGGCTTACATGGTTCTAAAACAACAAATTAACCAATATGGATAGATTTAATTATGATAAATGTGCTTCATTTGAGGAGTAGTACAGTAGTTCTTCCAGACCTCTATTTTTGTTGGATTAAATAAGCAGTAGTGTCTTTTGTTTTTAGGGCTAAGGGTATTGTTTGTGTTGAATCATCTATTGTTTTGTTCTCCAATCACAGACAATGTCTGGAGAGCCACTGACCTTCTCCATTTGAGGAGCAATTTTTTTTTCTTTGAGTCAACAAAAAGTAACTACCAGGTTACAGAATACCTTAACACCTAAAGTAACACCTGAAAGGTACAAAAAGCACATCTACCAATTTTATAGTGTAGAGAAGTTGCACTCATGGGTAATTCATTAATTGTGTGTTATTTCTAGGATTCCAATTCATTATTCACAGTTGACTATGACATACAACAGCAGCATATTACTGAGGACAACAGGTTTGTTATCTACACAGATCATGAGTTTGATTTAAACAAACGACCTTTGATGGCTTAATTCCTGTGTCGATATTGCATGGTTGCTTAGTAACGCTAGGACAAGACAATTCCTAACGGTAGACATGACTAAGCAGTGGAGTAATCATTTATTAATGATCGTTAATTAACTAGTTACGGAGGTGTCAAACGTCTTATATAAACGAGCGCACATTCTTAACCGGTCATCTTTTGTTGGATCCGGAGGCGACGCGTAACCTCTTGTCTTCACGTTCGTCGCTCCAAGCTCTTTTCGTAATGTCACTCTCAGCCGGCGCACGTCCAAAGCGCGCTCCCAAACCAGCGTACGATCCGGTTTCCTCTACGATCTTCCCTCACACTCGTTGTTTTCAGAGGCTCTAGAAGTAGAGGACGATGCCGACAACATACCGAAAACAAAGCAGCGAAAGCAGAAGTCCTTCAAATCCAAATCACCCACGGTTCCTGACCCTTCGCCGCCGGCAACCTCTTCAGTGGATTCAGGAAACACGCTCACTTTTGAGCAACAAATTCAACTTGTCCAGCTCCAGAAAGACAAGCTCGAACTGGAGTTGCAAGTTCTTCTCTGAGCTCTCGAACGCCCCCCCAGAAAACACGCGGGCGGTTTCGCCCGGCGATGTTACAGAGCCAACCTCCCAACGACGCACTAAAGACCCATCGACTGGCCTCACGACTTAGTGCCCAGTGTTCAAGGCGAGTATGAAAAGTTAAATCTTGCAGAGTTTGTAGCCGGCTTTTTAGTCATGATAAAAACGTATGAGTCGCAGCTGAAGGAGGCGTTCCTGGTCCACCTCGAATTACTCATGATTAAATCCATCAGTTACTCCTGGTCCAGCGTGCGGGCTTTTCATAAGTTCGTTCGCGAAACAAGTGGAGCAGCGCCCGTTTGGAATGGCAAGATTCCAAGGCTATCAATGATCAGGCCCACGACCTTTTTTCGCCATTCGGATCTTCGCTCTTCCTCCTCGCAACACGAGATCGCGCGCAAGTTTCGCAACCGAATTCTTGGCATTCTGGCAATAGCACACCTTCAAATCAGCAGGCAGGCAAACCCGGTCTAAAGGCATGTAGAGCGTGGAATTACACTGGTACTTGTGATTGCGACAAACAGGACAGTGCAGCCTATAGCGAACACCATCGTTGTCGGGTCTGCAAAGCGGATCATCCGATGTTACACTGTCCGGCGCCGCACACCAATTCCGGCACAGTGACAATCAGCTTTACAAGTTCCCAACACATTAACCTCTTCGACCGGAACGGACACGGACCGCGAATCTTTCAACACCGCAGCTGTGGTGCGTTATTTACGTGCCTCGCGTTATCCTCAACCAAATGCTTTCGGCGCTAAGGTTTTAGTTCCATCTTCGCTTTTGCTGGCAACGTGGAGAACCTCGCTTGCTGATTATCATGATAACATTGTGGTTGATTTTCTTTCATACGGTTGGCCCATCAACTACACTGCCGCTACACGTCCTGTCTCATCATCTCATAATCATCCGTCCGCTTCAAACTTTCACTCCCACGTGCAAACCTATCTGGATACCGAGCTGTCTTACAATGCCATCGCTGGTCCTTTCCTAATCCTCCCTTCGCAGACGCCTTTGTGTGTTCTCCGCTTCAACGGTCCCTAAACGCGGCTCTTCGACTACTTAGAGTGGTTATGGATCTTAGCTTTCCCGAGGATCTTCAGTGAATGACGGTATTCCGCCCGATACATATTTAGGCGAACAGTTTAAGTTGCGTTTACCTGGAATAGATCGGCTTGTTGACTTTATTCTCGCTAAAGGCCGTAACTGTCTCGTGTTTAAGAAAGACTTACGTCGCGCTTATAGACAGTTTCCTGTTGATCCTAAGGACTATAGTCTGCTCGGGTTTTGTTACCAAGGACAGTTCTACTTTGATACTCGTTGTCCCTTTGGCTTACGATCGTCGGCACTGATTTGTCAGCGCACAACCAAAGCCGTCGTTCACATCTTTAACGGGCAGGGATTTTCGGCGGATGTCTATTTGGATGACTTTTACGGAGCCGAATATCCGTCTCTTGCTCCTCAGGCTTTTTCACAGCTTGGACAATTATTCCAGCAACTTGGCTTGGATTCTTCTCCGGAAAAGGACACGCCACCTTCCACTTCGATGATTTGTCTTGGCATTTCCGTTGATACTGAAGCCTTCACTCTAGAGGTACCAGCCTCACGTCTGGAGGATTTACGAGCTGAGCTTATCATCTGGAAACAATCTTCATCTTTTACTAAGAGACAACTTCAATCGCTTCTGGGAAAGCTCTCTTTTTATTCTGGCATGTGTCAAGCCTGGGAGAATCTTCATGGCCAGACTTCTACAATGTCTTCGCGAATGCAACCATCACGCTGCTAGTCATCGGTACCCCATTTCCGCCACTATGCTCTTGGACATCCAATGGTGGTTTGAATTCCTTCCACGCTATCACCGCATTTCACTTATCAAACCTTCACTGTGGGATTTCGCGGGCCTGAATTTCTCCACCGATGCTTGTCTTCAAGGGGGTGGTGCCACCTGCCAAACACAGTGTATCAGTTTTGTTTTTCCTGATTGCATTTCTCTCCAATCTCTTCACATTAATGCTCTGGAACTGTTCACTATCGTTGTCGCTCTAAAACACTGGGCTCCTCAGTTACAAGGTCGAAAATTCATCGTGGCATGTGATAACTCCGCGGCTGTTACGGTCATCTCATCCAATGCATCAAAAGATCCTTTTATGCAGCGCTGCCCTCGCCAGTTATGGTTCACCTCTGCTCTCTTTGACTTTGAAGTCCATGGCGCTCCATGTTCCTGGCAAACACAATCAGTTTGCTGATTGTCTTAGTCGCTGGCACTCCGATCCTTCAGCTCGCGACAGCTTTTATCGCTTTTGTAGTGACTTTAATCAAGTTTTCTATTTTCAAGATGTTGACTCTGCTTGTTTTTCTTTCGATGTTGCGTGACACTCTTTTTATTTAGTTTTGTTTTTTCTCTTGTAGACCTCCCTCCGGGATCAGGTCAGCATTCCCGGTCAGATGTTTCTATCGTCACATTGCAGTCTTTAGTCTCACGCCTCATCTCCTGTGCACACGCAACATCGACACAGAAGAATATAGCTGCTCATATTCGTAGTTATCGGACTTTTTGTGACCTGAGGGCTCTTCAGTCCTTTCCTATTAGTGTTAAATCGATTAGCTTGTATGTAGCATATTTAGTCGGCGCGAAAACGGGCTTACGGTACCGTGCTTAACCATATTAGTAGTCTTAAACACGCTCATCAACTTGCCGGGTCTGAACTCACTTGAGTTCGATTACCGCTTTCAGCTTTTATTACGAGGCGTAAGCGTTTTCTGGGTCGCGGCCGTTTCTCGTCAATCGGCCATGACACCTTCAATTTTGCATGCCGCGTTTGATCTTTTCAATTTTTCTTTACCGCTACATGCGGCTATGTGGGCTCTGTTTTTAGTTGCTTTCTTCACCTTTTTGCGTAAATCCAATCTAGTACTTTCGATAATCCGAGGCAAATCTCCCCCAAGGTTATCACGCTGGCAGATTTGGTTTTCACGCCTTCGGGCGCAAATATCCATGTTTCAGCCACGAAGACCATTCAGTGTCAGCAACGCTCTCTTATTTTGCCAATTCCGTGATTTCTGGCTCTCGCCTTTGTCCGATTTCGGCTTTGCGACGCTATTTCGCGCCAACCCGGGCCCGTGTCTGCCCCCTTTTTCAGTTTCCTCCGGGTCGGGTTTAGTACCAATTACTTACAAGCAATTTTGCGCTTTTCTTTTGCTGGTTATGTCTCGCTCAATTTCGACCCGTCCCTTTACTCTCCTCATAGTTTTCGAAGGGTGGGGCGACTTTTCGCATTTGATTGCCATATTCCATCCGAAATAATCAAACTGCAGGGAGACTGGAAGAGCGACGCTTATCTTGTTTATTTAGAATTATCTCAGACACAAAAACAGCAGGCAGCCAAGGCTATGGCCTTAACGCTTCAGTCTATGTTTTCCGACTAAGTTTTATTATCGACTTATGCCTTAGTCTTCTTTCAACCCACTACCAACATTCTCACTCTAGTTTGGGCACTTTGGCGTCTTGGTTTATTGTCAAGCTATCGGTCAGCTTTCTCCGCTTGGTTCAATAAACTTATTTTGCCCAAACTCTCGTGTCGTCTTGGTAACGTGGGTTGATTGAGTAATCATTTATTAATGATCGTTAATTAACTAGTTACGGAGGTGTCAAACGTCTTATATAAACGAGCGCACATTCTTAACCGGTCATCTTTTGTTGGATCCGGAGGCGACGCGTAACCTCTTGCCCACCTCTCCCTAAGCAGTGTACAGAGATGTGTGTAAGCTGTCATTAAAAAAGGTTTTGTTGTTTGTCTTTATTCCAGGTGGAGCCATATTTGTTGTTCAGCTGCTAAGCGTCGATCAGACGATGGTGTCCACAGAGTTCCTCACGGTGTGAATGGAGTAACAAATAATGATAAGAAAAGCTCAGCTAGTAGAACAGTGAATGGCGAAGTTGAAAGTCATTCCTCTAAAGGTAGTTTACTTACGTGAATAGGCAAACTGATACTCTACGACATTCTACATTCATGACATGTATAAGCTAAAGTTGATATATTTTCATCTTAGGGCCTTCCACTTCTAGAACAGAACAAAAAGCTAAGGTAAAGGTTTTTTGAGTTTATTACAGTAAACGTTACTTAATATTGAGACAGATTCAAGACTCTACATTTTAAAGATACACTTTGATATTTGCCCTGTAAAATCACCACAGCTTGCAATCATTGATTTTTCCCCTCCTTTTTGTATTTCACGTACCATCCAGAAAAGTAAGATTTTTGTGCTCATGACAAGTTGAATAGATAACCCTCACAAAGCCGATTCATTTAATAGAAGCTGTATGTGATAATTTCATTATTGTACTTCAGTCGTTTCCATTTCCTTGCCCATACTTTTTAAGGTAAATGTCCCCAGTTTTTTTGATAATGTCAAGGCATCAAGTTCCAAGTCAAAGAAAGGACAGATCTCAGCTCTAGAGATGTTTGCGGCAAAGCCAACAACTTCAAAAAATGAGAAAAGTAACATAAAGAAAGAGGAGGATGTTCAAGGAGATACAGAAGAAAAGGTGTGGAAAGTGGCTTACAATTTTTGACTTTTGTTAAAGATTGCGAAATTTAAAAAAAACATAAGTGGTTTTTTGAAAGTTTAACAAGATAATATATTGTAGGTCAGAGTATTTTTGTGGAGTCAAGTTACGGAATATTTTAGGCTCTTCATTGTAAATGGATTCTTTTTTTGATAACTATACATGTTAGCTATTGCTTTACTTGCATTCAATTCAGTCAAAAGCTGCTCAAACCAAGTCGGACAGCAGCAAAACAGGGAGTGTGAAGTCATTTTTTGGACAAAGTTCAACAGGTATGTCATTTTTTGGTGTTTTGTAATTTCTGGATAAACATCATTGTTACTGAGAAAAACTGAACTTTTGTGTTAATTTGGCATACATCTTTGACTTTTCAGTTAAAAAGACTTCAGAGAAACCAGCTCCTACTGGAAAAAGTAATGCTTCTGAAGCCCCAAAGAAAAATAAAACTGACTCTGAGAAACAGAGTCTAAATGCTCAAAGTAAAAATCAAAAGAAAAGGTATGAAAGGTTATGTCGTTTTTGTAAGGTGTGTTTGCAGCTGTTTTCATTTTTTCTTTATAACAATAAAAAAATATTGTATTAACAAAAAATTTATTGTTGCTAATGTAACATTTTTATTGATTTTATAAATTTTTTGGAGAGGAAAAACGTCAAGGAGAGGAGAGTATTGTTTCATCTTGGTCAGGCTTCTGTGGGCAAGAATCTTTATACTTAAAATTCACATTCATGTTTTTGTGTGAAATTTTTAAATTTCTTTTTTCTTTCATTTGCAGGGAAATGTCTTCTGATGATGAGGAGGTAGGGGCATGATGAATGTATTTTCATTTCAGTGTACTTTTGAATTTCATCTTGAGCATTTGCTGCCTGTTGTTTTACAGGAACCATTACCGCCAAAAATTTCTAAAGCTGTCAAGGCTAACGTTAAAGGTTAGTGATGACATAATGTTGCTATTCACTGTTTGAGGGCAACAAGAGGAGTCCAAAATCCTAACTCCAGGTTGCTATCATGCATGCACGGCATGTTTGTAACACTATAGCAAGCTTCATGTGGACTTCCTCTAAGAATGAATGGATTACACAGAATGCAATCTGATCACTCACATTTGGACTTTCTATCTTGTAATCTGATCCCATGTGGTTTGACCATCTATCACATGAAATTTACAGAAAGCAGAGTGTTGGAGCAAAAGTGTTTTAACCTTTTATTGTTGTTGCCTGCACTTCCTAACCTTTGGTTATCACCAGTCTAATTATGTGAACCTCTTGGGAATACAACTCAGTGTGTGGAGGGGTGGTGAGCTAAGAAAACAAACATTTCAGGTACTGCTTGGAGTGGGGGGAGGGGAGGGGCACACACTAGTCACTGTTGGGGATATCCCTTGTCTGTGGGTGTGGTAGGAGCCTAGTATCCTCTCAGTTCTGGGGATGCCCTTTTTACCGAAACGGGGTGGGAAGACACGGGTCAAGTCACTTGTGAGGATATCCAAAATGTCTTTAAAATGATATGTACACCCTGCTGAAAGCTTCTTCCTTCTTTCCATGTCCTTTTTACAGGGGTGGGGTGGGAAGATAAGGGTCCAGTCACTGTTGAGGATTTCCAAAATGTCTGTAAAGTGACATGTACATGTACCTCCTGCAAGCTTCTACCCTCATTCCCTGAAAATGTCCTTTGTACAGGGGTGGGATGGGAAGGCAAGGGTAAGTCCCTTTTGAGGATATCCGAAATGTCTGTAAAACATCATGTACCTCCTGCTGCCTTTTTTTCCCTCCTTTCCTGGTCTGCTGAAATGAATTATCCTTCTGACTACTCATTTTTATGCCTACATTTTCAGAAAACGGAGATTCAAAGGAAGCCAAGAAAAAGGTAATGAAGGAAGTTGATTTTATTACCCTTGCCTACATGTATGTATTCCACAGTTTGTTTTATTCAGTTGCATCCTAAAATGTCATAACTGCATTTTTGCCATTTTTTATGAAACAGGCTCAGGAGAAAGAGCAGGAGGAAGGAAAGACCGATCCTTTGAAAAGGTAAGATTTGTATGACTGTTTATTGCAGTCTTGAGAAGAGTAAAGTGCCAGCATAGATTTTGGTCTTTTTATTTGCAAAGAAAGAAAACCTGAGTACATCCCAGAGCTATGCACAGTGGTGAGAGCTCTCACCTCTCACCAACGTAGACCGCGTTCAAATCCTGGCATGGACGCTTCGTGTGGGTCGAGTTTGTTGTTGGTTCTCTCCTTTGCTCTCAGAGGTTTATCTCTAAGTACTCCGTTTTCCCCTCTGGGCAAAATTAACATTTCCAAATTCCAATTTGACCAGGAATCAGCTGGACGAAGAGCCACTAAGTGAATGTTGCTACCTCTATGTTGTTATTTATTATTTATTTATTATTAATTTTTTATGGGATGTTAGTTTCATGAAGGGAGTTTTACTAAACAAATTTCTGCCATCTGTTCTCTATGTATTCTTTTCTTGTTACAGTAAGTGATTAAATTTGCTGTTTCTTTTCATAGCAATAAAGCAAGAAAAAAGAAAGCTGTTATAGCTGAGTCAGGTAATGAAATAGTTATCTGATTAATATTGATAATAATTATAGATAATTATTAAATTCAGTCCTCCTGTAAGCAGATACCTGCTAAGACTTAAACAAGTCTCTTCTTAGGAGAGATCTCCATAAAAAGCAGGTTATGCTGAGAAAACAGCCGACATTTTGCGACGTCACCACAGGTTTCCCTGCAAAATGACGCCTGAGAAACGAGCAATCAAATTCCAGATTGATGATGCACCACTACCCAGATCTGATTGGTTGCTGTGCTGCTGAGTGGTTGAAAATTTAACATTTTGCAGGGAAACCAGTGGTGGCATGGCAAAATTTTGGCTTTTTTCTCAGGCTACTTTGTGAGCAAGGATTAATAATTACAGCATGTATCCAAAGTGTTTTTAATAAACTTGAACTTGAACTTGCTAAAAGCACGTTAGAATATAGTGTTTGTAAGTAAGTGGGACAGTGGCTAAGTGTCCTGAGATTAGCACAGAAAATTGAAACAAAAACTATCTGTAAAGACACATTTTACTTCCACTTTAGATGAAGAAATAGAAGAGAAGCCAAGAAAAAGAAGAAAGCGAATGAAAGAACTTCCCAATGAAGGTAGCAGTGAAGATGGTAAGTTGGTTATTGCATTGGCCCAGTACTTGGCTAATGCTGGCCTGAGGTTAGCTCAATGATGTTTTTATTTTTACTTACAATGAATTCACAGTTCAGTAAAAATAAAAAATGCAGTGTTTACTTTGTTATGAATTTGTTTATCTAGAAAAAGAGGAGAAAGTGACAAATGCGGAAGCAAATAAAGAGGTTTCTCCAGACCAAGAATCCACTAAAAGTGAAAGCCCATTACCTCAACAGGAGCAACAACAAACCGTAGAAAAAGACGCGAGTAGGCCCGCACGGAAGCGAAAAAAAGTGATGAAATCCAAAACCTTCATGAACGATGAAGGTTACATGGGTAGGTTTCCTGTGTCGACTTGACTAGGCGACTCTTTTGGTAGACTGTGGACTAACATTTTTCCGAGGACCGCGACGTCGGCGAAACTTCACTTAAAACAGCTAAAAGTGAATTCGCACTCTTTCAATCTTCATTGCGATTATAACAACTTACTTTGTCAAGTATAGGCGAATTCTTCTGGAGAATTCTTCTGGAATTCTTAGTGAAATTAGGCACTTTCACATCGTATTGTACTAAAAAGCGTGATGCACGTGCAAAGTTGTTGTTTTACCAATCTAAACCTATTTCTCTTTTGACGTCTTCTTAGGGCCTGTTTACATGGAGTGGGGTACCCCGGTCTAGTGGGGTTGGTTTCTTTTGTTTTCACGCTCTGGGGGACACAAAACAAAAGAAACTTACCCCACTAGGCCGGTGTCCCCCACTTCATGTAAACAGGGTCTTAGTGTCCACAATTAGCTTTTAGCTAAATACCTTGACACTTTAATAAAGTTTATGTATGTATGTATGTATGTATGTACGTTCGCGTGGCCGTCGCCGTCGTTGGATCTTAAGGTCCCTATTTTTTTTTCTTACAGTGACTGAGAAAGTTTGGGAAAGTGAGTCTACAGATGCGAGTGATGATGAACCCCAAATAATTATCAAACCACCCGTGTCTTACGAGAAACGGCCATCACTGGTCAAGAAAACCGGCGCTAAGAAGACGCACAGTGACATGAAAGGCAAAGGAGTGAAACAATCCTCGCTGACAAGTTTCTTCAAAAAGTCTTAATGAATTGATTGTAAAAAATATATATTATACTTGCAATTATGTGGGCATTTTTTGAACCCAAACGTGAAGCATTTTTGCTTTTTTTGGTTCATAGTTTACCAGATTATTATTCCTTGACTATAAAATTACTTCAGCAGATAACATACATGTACTCTTCTGGGCTTGGTTGTTTAAAGGAGTATTATGGTCACCCGTGTGACTTCAAATCTGAACGCTTACAAGGCAAATCCCTGAAAGGGTTAACCTCTATTTATTGATATATGCCACAACAAGAATAACTTACATCCTTTTAAGAACATCAGCATGGAAATTTCTTCAGACTGAATGACATGGATTGATCTTGAAACTGGTTATTTTAAATTCTTGATTTAAACTTGTAAGTTATGCAGATACACCTATTGCATGTTTTTACGACAGTAACAACAATTACTTATGTAGATATTCCTATAAGTGTTAAGATATCTTGACAGCCTTTCTAGCGTGCCTTCAGCCACTTGAAGCCCTGCAAATACATAGAACAGCTACTGATTACATCATTCATGTATGTACTAAAACTAATTTAATTGCATGCTAAATATATATAAGGTACAAGTGATTATCTTTCAGTTCGGCTCCAAGCACATCTTGTCGCTTTCTTGGTAACCAACAAAGTTTCCTCAGAGGATACCTTGCAAGTTTTAAAATATATATCAGAGAAGCAACCCCAGCTGGGTGTGTCGTGCTTAAACTCAAAGCGACAAAGGTGAACCCACTTACGTGCGTGTGAGCGCTGAAGACAATTTGATTCATTCACTGCGTGATTGATCAGAAATATTGCTCTTATAAGGTGGTTAGATTAAAAAAAACACTTATTGTTAAGTCTCTTGTTCAGTGTGAGATGGTCAAGGAGTTTGATTTGATAGAGCATACAAGCACTTCAGAACAGGCTTATGCTAAACAAAAAGGTATTACGCGATGGACTCCTATCTGCTTTCCTTTCGTCGCCTTTCGATTTTTCCTCGTCACTTATTGAAGCTTAGAGCGAAGAACAGGTTAAACTTGCTCCCTGATACAGATCGATACAGGCACACTTCCGGTCCACAGGTGTGTCGGGCATAATCATTGATGAATTCAAAACTCAGTTCAGTTATTTATTTAAACAAAACAATAGTTGCTGAATAAAGTAAATACAGTTGAGATGGGTTTGTTGAAGGCGGGATGCCTCAGGCAGGAAAAGATTTTTGTGACTGTAATTTATGAAACCAGTGTTATCGGAACTTGAGGCTATACTTACCTCACTTCTCACCAATCTTGACATCGTTCTCACGAAACTTCCTTCCATGAGCTTTATTTGGTGTTAGGAACTGTAGATTCTCAATGGATCGTCGGTACTTTGCTGACTTTATTATGTCATGCAAATTAAATCCACCCCGCCCTCCACCCCGTCGACCCTGCGATTGAGCTTGGGATACCATAAGAGCATAAAGGCAAAGAACGAAAATAAAGACAGAGAATTTCGGACCCATGATTAGTTCAGCTCTTAAATGTTGCAGGAAAACAGTACCTAATAAGCAAATAAAAGACATGACATTTAGTTCAAATTTAAATTGAGATTCACCATAAAAGATGACATCAATTACAGTCATCGAACCTCCACTAATGGCCACCTCTCTACAACAGCCACCTCTTTACAACGGCCACCTTTCTACAACGGCCACCTCTCTACAATGGCCACCTTTCTACAATGGCCACCTCTCTACAATGGCCACCTTTCTACAACAGCCACCTTCTACAACGGCCAACTTTCTACAACGGCCACCTCTCTACAACAGCCTCCTCTCTACAACAGCCACCTCTCTAAAATGGCCACCTCTCTACAATGGCCACCTCTCTACAATGGCCACCTCTCCACAACGGTCACCTTTCTACAACGGCCACCTCTCTACAAGAGCCACCTCTCTACAACGGCCACCTCTCTACAACGGCCACCTCTCTACAAGAGCCACCTCTCTACAACGGCCACCTCTCTACAACGGCCACCTCTCTACAAGAGCCACCTCTCTACAACGGCCACCTCTCTACCAGAGCCACCTCTCTACAACGGCCACCTTTCTACAACGGCCACCTCTCTACCAGAGCCACCTCTCTACAACGGCCACCTTTCTACAACGGCCACCTCTCTACAACGGCCTCCTCTCTACAACGGCCACCTCTCTAACAACGGCCACCTCTCTACAACGGCCACCTCTCTACAACGGCCACCTCTCTACAACCCACCTCTCAAGAGCCACCTCTCTACAACGGCCACCTTTTACTACAACGGCCACCTTTCACAACGCCACCTCTCTACAAGAGCCACCTCTCTACAACGGCCACCTCTCTACAACGGCCACCTCTCTACAAGAGCCACCTCTCTACAACGGCCACCTCTCTACAACGGCCACCTTTCTACAACGGCCTCCTCTACAACGGCCTCCTCTCTACAACGGCCTCCTCTCTACAACGGCCACCTCTCTACAACGAGCCACCTCTCTACAACGCCACCTCTCTACAAAGAGCCACCTCTCTACAACGGCCACCTTTCTACAACGGCCACCTCTCTACCAGAGCCACCTCTCTACAACGGCCACCTTTCTACAACGGCCACCTCTCTACAACGGCCTCCTCTCTACAACGGCCACCTCTCTACAACGGCCACCTCTCTACAACGGCCACCTCTCTACAACGGCCACCTCTCTACAACGGCCACCTCTCTACAAGAGCCACCTCTCTCTACACCACCTCTCTACAACGGCCACCTTTCTACAAAACCACCTCTCTACAAAACCACCTCTCTACAACGGCCACCTCTCTACAACGGCCACCTCTCTACAACGGCCTCCTCTCTACTTGGCATTCTCACCTCTCTACAAAAAGCGGCCACCTCTCTACAAAGAGCCACCTCTACAAGCAGCCACCTCTCTACCAAGGCCACCTCTCTCTGTCTACCACCTTTCTACAAACGACCACCTCTCTACAACGGCCTCCTCTCTACAACGGCCACCTCTCTTCGGCCACCTCTCTACACTACGGCCACCCCTCTCTACAAGAGCCACCTCTCTACAACGGCCACCTTTCTACAACAGCCACCTCTCTACAACAGCCTCCTCTCTACAACCCACCTTTCTACAACGGCCACCTCTCTACAACGACCACCTCTCTCTCAACGGCCACCTCTCTACAACACGACCACCTCTCTACAACAGCCTCCTCTCTACAACGGCCACCTTTCTACAACGGCCACCTCTCTACAACGGCCACCTTTCTACAACGGCCACCTCTCTACAACGGCCACCTCTCTACAAACGGCCACCTCTCTACAACGCCACCTCTCTACAACGGCCACCTCTCTGTGGCCTCCTCTCTACAACGGACCACCTCTCTACAACGGCCACCTCTCTACAACAGCCTCCTTTCCACGACAGCCACCTCTCTACAACAGCCACCTTTCCATGACAGCCACCTCTCTACAACAGCCTCCTCTCTACAACGGCCACCTTTCTACAAACATTACCTCTCTACAACACCACCTCTCTACAACGGCCACCTCTCTACAACGGCCACCTCTCTACAACGGCCACCTCTCTACAACAGCCACCTCTCTACAACGGCCACCTCTCTACAACAGCCACCTCTCTACAACGGCCACCTCTCTACAACGGCCACCTCTCTACAACGGCCACCTCTCTACAACAGCCACCTCTCTACAACGGCCACCTCTCTACAACAGCCACCTCTCTACAACGGCCACCTTTCTACAACGGCCACCTCTCTACAACAGCCACCTCTCCACAACGGCCACCTCTCTACAACGGCCACCTCTCTACAACGGCCACCTTTCTACAACGGCCACCTCTCTACAACGGCCACCTCTCTACAACGGCCACCTTTCTACAACGGCCACCTCTCTACAACGGCCACCTTTCTACAACGGCCACCTCTCTACAACGGCTACTTTTTTTGTCTCGGCGGCCAGTAAATACATTAACTCTTTCTTAAACCTCTCTACAACGGCAACGGCCACTGAAACGTGTCCCCAGCTGTAACCTCTCGACATCGGCTAGTTTTTTCAGCGACTGATGAAAAAGTAAGGAATGTTCACGAAATTTGATCCGTAAGGCGCGTTGATGACTAATCGCGGCATCGTATTTTGATTGTGTTCCATTTATACTGCTACAGTAAGCATAAATTGACTACGATACTTGTTCGTTTTGTCGCGTTAATATTTGGATTTAAAACATTCAAGTTTTTTGTGTATCTTATCTCTCTGTATATTATTTATGACTGGATTTACATTGTGGGATGCAGTAAGCATGAACTTATCTGTACTCTCTAAAAGGAATTTGTCACAAGAAAGCCCTAATTCCCCATAACGGCCAGCTCTCAACAGTGGCCACTTTTCTCTGTCCCCAAGATGGCAGTTGTAGAGAGGTTGGACTGTATTCTCCCTATCAAACATACTATCCGTGTGAAATAAAAGAGGCTTTTCCGCATGGCTAAACAAGTTGATCCTTCACTAACCTGCTACAAATCAAACACAGACTTACTTATGTTGGTGATGAATTGCCGAGAGGATTCCAATCGAACCAGGAGTTGACAGGTGTTCTTTATCTCAGTTCTGAAGAACCACAGACTGGCAAAAATCTCAAGGCCTTTTACAAATTTATTACTGAGTACGTGGACGTGACAGGCGTAAATTGAGACAAGAGGGGGGTCTTTGAAATGATCATCGCTTGAGTGTGCATTCAGTTGACAGTAATTTGGAATGCAAATTTGCCAGTACTTGATTATTTCGAAACAGTCTATTTATAAAAAAGGTGACTCATCCCTTTCAAGAGTAAATACCCTCAACTGCATGCTACATAGCCTGTGCCAGGCTCTCAGATAGTATACGTAGTGGGAACTTATTAAAAGTGAAATTAAGACGCGCACGACTTGGGAAAGGGGGCGGTGGCGGCGCGAAAAATGGGAGAGAGCCGCCCTGTCTCTCCCCAGCCCCCGCGCGTTTTTCGCATTTCTTATTACTGAACGACTTTCCACCACTATCTCGGAGCCTGGAACAGGCTACATGCTACAGTACACTGAATCAAACACAGAGTTACCTTTGTTGGTGTTCAGTCAGTACGTGAGGTGTCCAACTGAACTGTTTATCTTCTTGGAATGCAAAGCCACCTCAGAAGGGCGCATTCCTAATTAGGGGCCGACCATTTGACTTTTAAAGGGGGGTGGGCTATGGGTGATTTTAAAAAAAAAAATACACCCAGTCCTAAAAATCTCTAGTGTTATTTTCTTGTTACTTAGAAGAACATACAAAACACTAAATACCTATACGGCCTCCTCTCTACAACGGCCACTTTTTTTGTCTCGGCGGCCAGTAAATACATTAACTCTTTCTTAAACCTCTCTACAACGGCAACGGCCACTGAAACGTGTCCCCAACTACCAAAATAACCTCTCAACACCGGCTAGTTAGCTCATGGATGACGTAGTCATGCCATGGGCTTTTGGAGGCACTCGAATGGCACTCGATCACTCACTCACTCGATTCTCATTAATTTATTCATTAAAGTCAGATTAAACACGTTACTCCTACCTCCCTTACTTAGTATTACTTTTTTTCCAAGTGCCTTTTTACCTATATGTTTGAAATATTCTAGAGGGTACTAGTAAGGCGAATATTTTTTTTTCCCGACACATTAATTATAGAGAAGGGGTTTTGTATAAATAACAATATTTTAAAGAACACTGATAATATCATCCGCAAGAAATGGACTTAGAATTGTTAAAAGGACATTGAAATGATTGAGCGTGGATCATTGTTGTATATTTGGATAGCCTGCGTAGCAGGCGCTTGGAAGTAGCGGGCGAAAGAGAGAACGGGCGCGCGCGAGGGAGACACGCAAGGGGTGAGGGAGCGCCTGCACGGAAGGCCCCCGAAAATCGTTTCAACTCGCACTCTGTGAGTGCGGATATTTTCAATTGGTCGAGAGGCTCCCGAGGGAAAAATTAACCGCGCGGGGCGAGAAAACTGTCAATCAATAGTACATGGACAACGTAGTGAAGATCTTGCATTACACCACTGGGTCCTGAAACCACTAAATTGTATACAATCGAAGTTCAGGTCTCGGAGGTCACTTCAATCTGGTTTAATGGGACTATGTGGCTGTAATGTCAAAGAAAAGTTGGAGTGTTCAAACGGCATTCACGATGGAAAGAATTGACATCGGATACGCATCAACAGATGTGGCGAGAGACAAAAGATTTGTCGAATCGTTGCAATGAAGGTCAGAGGAAATATTCTTTGCTCAGGAGAACTTGGCGGCTTGTGCTGTCGATGGAATGTATACCATCAAAACTTGGACACGATTGATGAAATGAAACACTTACCAGGGGCATGAACTTGAAAAAAACATTTCACTATAGTATTATTCGCCGTTCGAAGGCGACCTGAGGTCTGTTGTTTATGGGGAGAGTTGAAAAAACTGACCCCCACTCCGCGGACTACCCACTGACCCCACTCCGCGGACTACTCTACGGACTACTCCGCGGACTACTCTACGGACTAGTCCGCGGACTACCCTGCGGACTACCCTAACTAATCAACCAAATTTACTTTCACGGAGAAAAGAGTTAGAAGAAGCGTACCTGCCTACAAGATCACACTTGATAAACAGCCGCCATCTTGATTTTCGCCATTTTACTCGACCCAGCTCTCCTTTAGCTTCGCCCCAGTCTTCATCGGCCACAAGTCAGAGCACGCCGCTCAGCAATGGATGACCGGTAATTGTGTGTTGAATATTCATCCCTTTTAATTTGTTTCAATTGTTTGCCTGAGAAAATGCAAGGGGTGACAGGCCGCACATCTATACCGGCGTGAAACCTTGTGTAAACCTTTTATATTTTAGCTCTAACGAGCATGTCCTTTAGGGATTTTCCTTTCTTGTAGGAAATGATAGGTGGTTCTTTAAAAATTTGGCGAAGTAACGGTTGGGTTTGTATAAGATTCCAGTTTTTCATTAAAACTTCTTTTAAAGTAGACACTGAGGGCTGGTACTGTGTCACGAAAGGCAATATTTCTTTTTCCTCTTTGTTGTGTTTCAAGAGAGCAGACTCCCTCTCTGTGAACTTTATATCTGATAGAAGGTTTTCTATCATAGTTTGTGGGTAGCCCTGTCAATCAAGCGTATTTTGAAATTTGAAATATTTTCCTCAAACGTAGTTTTTGAGGAGTTTGTTCGTAGGATTCTCAAGGCTTCTCCTTTGACAAATCCTTTTTTAACACTCGGCGGGTGACAAGAGGTGAAATGTGTGTACTGGAAGGTTTCCGTTTTTTTAAAATGTGTCTTTACATCAAGGATAGATTTTTCCTTGAATCTTGTGCCTTTGTATACAATCGTGTCTAAAAACACAGTCTCAGTGTCAGATATTTCGGCCGTGAATTTGATAGTTGGGTGATGTAAGTTCGCTTGCTCGATGAAGGCTTCGAAGGTTTTAAAAATTTTAAAAATTAAAAATTATCAAGTGTGATCTTGTAGGCAGGTACGCTTCTTCTAACTCTTTTCTCCGTGAAAGTAAATTTGGTTGATTAGTTAGGGTAGTCCGCAGGGTAGTCCGCGGACTAGTCCGTAGAGTAGTCCGCGGAGTAGTCCGTAGAGTAGTCCGCGGAGTGGGGTCAGTGGGTAGTCCGCGGAGTGGGGGTCAGTTTTTTCAACTCTCCCGTTGTTTATGTCTCATTACTGCAGTAGAAAACATGTCGGTACAGTTTGTGTTCTGAGGTTTAGGTCCGCTTAGTAAGACATGTCTGCTCCAAAAACGGCTGCCAGTTAGCGCAGTAAAAGCAATATGGTCATTTTCCACGTACGCTGTGATCGTTGGTGTCTGACCAGAACAATATTTTTAGTTTTTATAATACACAGCATGCATTCTTTAAAAGATACCCAGTTTTTACTTTGTTATTTCCTATTTATTTTGCCCATGTTAAAAAACGATTTAAAGCTGTGTGTTAACCATCAGTTTATTGCTCCATCGCTCTATAATCAGATAACCCAGCTGATCTTTATAACAGATATATTTAGACCGAAGATAAAATGTACAACGCTTTTTGGCGGCTTGCTTTGTTTGTGCGAGGTCAGTCGTTTTCTGTCAAAACTTTTGACAGATCATGCAACGGCTGCCAAGTAATTAGAGAAGGGGCGGGAAACGATTTTCGGGGGCCTTCCGTGCAGGCGCTTCCTCTCCCCTCGCGTGTCTCCTTCTCGCGCGCCCGTTTTTTCTTGTGCCCACTACTTCCAAGCGCCTGCTACGCAGGCTAATATTTGGACGAATTGTGCACATTTGTTCCCGATATTGTACTTGATATGGTGAAGATGCGATCAACAGGAGTGTGAAAGATCGAGAAAGAGCTATTGCAGCCTGACGATGGGATTTCGTTCAGCGAAAAGCAAATAAACCAAAGAGCCTTATAATCACTGCAAAAAAACTGTCCTCGAATTGTTAAAGCGACATTGAGGAGTATTTATTGAGGTTTATTCAGTTATTTGGACGAATCCGTTAGACCATTTGTCTTCGTATGCAAACAGGGAATGAATTAATGTTGTGTCAACTAGAAGCACAGGTTTTAGAACCAACAAGCGTTACGCTATTTTGCTTGAATTCTTAGGTGATCTTTGCCTTAAAGTAGGCTTTTGTTTGTCGGTGATTCTATTTAGCAGTGCTATTAATGTAATTTCTACGAGAAATGCTGCGCTGGTATAAACAAGTCTCTGGCAAATGGCAATCGGATAGTTCGACTGCGTTTGAATTACTTGGCTAGGTCAGAGCACGTACTGCTTTGAGAAACCAGCTCCTACTGGAAAAAGTAATGCTTCTGAAGCCCCAAAGAAAAATAAAACTGACTCTGAGAAACAGAGTCTAAATGCTCAAAGTAAAAATCAAAACAAAAGGTATGAAAGGTTATGTCGTTTTTGTAAGGTGTGTTTGCAGCTGTTTTCATTTTTTATATATATATAGTTTATAATAATATTAAAAATATTGTATTAACAAAAAATTATTATTGCTGATGCCACATTTTTAGCAATTTTATAAATTTTTTGGAGAGGAAAAACGTCAAGGAGAGGAGAGAAGTGTTTTATCTTGGTCAGGCTTCTGTGAACTAGAATCTTTATACTTAAAATTCACATTCATGTTTTTGTGTGAAATGTTTAAATTTCTTTTTTCTTTCATTTGCAGGGAAATGTCCTCTGATGATGAGGAGGTAGGGAAATGATGAATGTATTTTCATTTCAGTGTACTTTTGAATTTCATCTTGAGCATTTGCTGCCTGTTGTTTTACAGGAACCATTACCGCCAAAAATTTCTAAAGCTGTCAAGGCTAACACTAAAGGTTAGTGACGACATAATGTTGCTATTCAATATTTGCAGGCAACAAGATGATGGGAAGGTAAGGGTCCAGTCACTGTTGAGGATTTCCAAAATGTCTGTAAAGTGACATGTACATGTACCTCCTGCAAGCTTGTACCCTCTTTCAGGGGCACCCAACCAGGATATAGTTCAAAACCACGTAATATAGCATTGTTGAACGTGTTTTAGTATTTTAACAGTAGATATAGGCATATTTTTATCCCCTAAAAACTTTTCATCTGTTCGGATTTCCTAGCTGAAAGTCTAGTGATCCGAAAAATTATAGGGATCAAAACTTACCTTCTCGAAAATTTCAGCCAGGAAAAGGCTCCCGAAAATTCTAGGTGGCCTTTTTTAGGGTAAATATCCGTTTAAAATGGGTAATTATACCATTTTGTAGATGTTCGAAAATCCTAGGAGAGGCAGGTAAGCAAGAAATTTTACAACAAATGTTCCGAAAATTCTAGCTCTCAAATCGTCTTCCGAACAGATATTTTCCCGAAAATTGCCGTTGGGTGCCCCTGCTCTTTTCCTGGAAATGTCCTTTGTACAGGGGTGGGGTGGGAAGACAAGGGTCAAATCACCCTGGCTTTTGAGGATATCAGAAATGTCTGTAAAACATCATGTACCTCCTGCTGCCTTTTTTTCCCTCCTTCCCTGGTCTGCTGAAATGAATTATCCTTCTGACTACTCATGTTTATGCCTACAGTTTCAGAAAACGGAGATTCAAAGGAAGCCAAGAAAAAGGTAACAAAGGAAGTTGATTTTATTACCCTTGCCTACATTTATGTATTCTACAGTTTGTTTTGTTCAGTTGCATCTCAAAATGTTGTAACTGCATTTGTGCCATTTTTTATCAAACAGGTTCAGAAGAATGAGCAGGAGGAAGAAAAGACTGATCCTTTGAAAAGGTGAATCTCTGAATAGATATGTAGCTTATTATTTGTGATTTATATGACTGTTTATTGCAGTCTTGAGAAGAGTAAAATGCCGGCATAGATTCTGGTCTTTTTATTTGCAAAGAAAGAAAACCTGAGTACATCCCAGAGCTATGCACAGTGGTGAGAGCCCCTGGCATGGACGCTTCGTGTGGGTCGAGTTTGTTGTTGGTTCTCTCCTTTGCTCTCAGAGGTTTATCTCTAGGTACTCCGTTTTCCCCTCTGGGCAAAATTAACATTTCCAAATTCCAATTTGACCAGGAATCAGCTGGACGAAGAGCCACTAAGCGAATGTTTCTACCTCTGTGTTGTTATTTATTATTTATTATTAATTTTTTATGGGATGTTAGTTTCATGAAGGGAGTTTTACTAAACAAATTTCTGCCATCTGTTCTCTATGTATTCTTTTCTTGTTACAGTAAGTGATTAAATTTGCTGTTTCTTTTCATAGCAATAAAGCAAGAAAAAAGAAAGCTGTTATAGCTGAGTCAGGTAATGAAATCATTATTTGATTGATATTGATAATATAGATAATTATTAAATTCAGTCCTCCTGTAAGCAGATACCTGCTAAGACTTAAACAAGTCTCTTCTTAGGAGAGATGTCCATAAAAAGCAGGTAATGCTGAGAAAATAGCTGACATTTCATGACGTCACAGGTTTCCCTGCGAAATGACATCTGAGAAACGAGCAAACAAATTCCATACTGATGACGTGTCACTACTCAGATCTGATTGGTTGCTGTGCTGCTGAGAGGTTGAAAATTTGACATTTTGCAGGCAAACCAGTGGTGGTGTGTCAAAATTTTGGCTGTTTTCTCAGGCTACTTTGTGGGCAAGGATTAATTACGGCATGTATCCAGAGTGTTTTTAATAAACTTGAACTTGCTAAAAGCAGGTTAGAATATAGTGTTTGTAAGTAAGTGGTACAGTGGCTAAGTGTCCTGAGATTAGCACAGAAAATTGAAACAAAAACTATCTGTAAAGACACATTTTACTTCCACTTTAGATGAAGAAACAGAAGAGAAACCAAGAAAAAGAAGAAAGCGAATGAAAGAACTTCCCAATGAAGGTAGCAGTGAAGATAGTAAGTCGGTTATTGCATTGGTCCGGTACTTGGCTAATGCTGGCCTGAGGCTAGCTCAATGATGTTTTTATTTTTACTTACAATGAATTCACAGTTCAGTAAAAATGAAAAATCCTGTGTTTACTTTGTTATGAATTTGTTTATCTAGAAAAAGAGGAGAAAGTGACAAATGCAGAAGCAAATAAAGAGGTTTCTCCAGACCAAGAATCCACTAAAAGTGAAAGCCCATTACCTCAACAGCAGCAAGAACAAACCGTAGAAAAAGACGCGAGTAGGCCCGCACGGAAGCGAAAAAAAAGTGATGAAATCCAAAACCTTCATGAACGATGAAGGTTACATGGGTAGGTTTCCTGTGTCGACTTGACTAGACGACTCTTTTGGTAAACTATGGACTAATATTTTTGTGGTAAGGGAGAGAGATTAGGATACGAAAGGTCCAGGTTCGTTTTTAATAGAAATCCTCTAAATAAGAGGTCAAAAATTTTCCAAGTGTCTTAAAAATGGCAGCGACCGTTTACGAAAGGAACATCTGCCGTTAAAAGTGAATTCGCGCTGCTTCAATCTTCCCCGCGATTATTCCAACTAGGGGCCTGTTTACGTGGAGGTGGGGGACCCCAAGAAGGCGAGGGAACCCGCTTAGGTGGGGTATCCCTCCTGTCCACATAATCTCTCATTTTAATTTGATCATGTTTACATGATAGGTGGGGTGACCTGCCGCATGTTACCTCACCTATCTGGGGTCCCCCACCTCCATGTAAACAGGCCCTAACTTACTTTTTCAAGTATAGGCGAATTCTTCTGGAGTTCAATTCTTAGTGAAATTAGGCACTTTCACATCGTATTGTACTAAAAGCGTGATGCACGTGCAAAGTTGTTGTTTTGCCGATCTAAACCTATTTCTCTTTTGACTTTCGCGTGGCCGTCACCGTCGTTGGATCTTAAGGTTCTCTATTTTTTTTTCTTACAGTGACTGAGAAAGTTTGGGAAAGTGAGTCTACAGATGCGAGTGATGATGAACCCCAAATAATTATCAAACCACCCGTGTCTTACGAGAAACGGCCATCACCGGTCAAGAAAACCGGCGCTAAGAAGACGCACAGTGACATGAAAGGCAAAGGAGTGAAACAATCCTCGCTGACAAGTTTCTTCAAAAAGTCTTAATGAATTGGTTGTAAAAAATATACATTATACTTGTACTTATGTGGGCATTTTTTGAACCCAAACATGAAGCATTTTTGCTTTTTTGGTTCCTAATTCACCAGATTATTATTCCTTGACTATAAATTACTCAGCAGATAAATTAATTGAACTCCGCTTCTGGGCTTGGTTGTTTAAAGGAGTATCATCTAACCCGTGTGACTTCAAATCTGAACGCTTACAAAGCAAATTCCTGAAAGGGGTTGACCTCTGTTTATTGATATATGCCACAACAAGAATAACTTACATCCTATTAAGAACATCAACATGGAAATTACTACAGACTGAATGACATGGAATGATCTTGAAACTGGTTATTTTAAATTCTTGATTTAAACTTGTAAGTTATCCAGATACACCTACTGCATGTTTTTACGACAGTAATAACAATTACTTATGTAGATATTCCTATAAGTGTTAAGATATCTTGACAGCCTTTCTAGTGTGCCTTCAGCCACTTGAAGCCCTGCAAATACATAGAACAGCTACTGATTACATCATTCATGTATGTACTAAAACTAATTTAATTGCATGCTAAATATATATAAGGTACAAGTGATTATCTTTCAGTTCGGCTCCAAGCACATCTTGTCGCTTTCTTGGTAACCAACAAAGTTTCCTCAGAGGATACCTTGCAAGTTTTAAAATACATATCAGAGAAGCAACCCCAGCTGGGTGTGTCGTGCTTGAACTCAAGCGACAAAGGTGAACCCACTTACGTGCGTGTGAGCGCTGAAGACAATTTGATTCATTCACTGCGTGATTGATCAGAAATATTGCTCTTATAAGGTGGTTAGATTAAAAAAAAACACTTATTGTTAAGTCTCTTGTTCAGTGTGAGATGGTCAAGGAGTTTGATTTGATAGAGCATACAAGCACTTCAGAACAGGCTTATGCTAAACAAAAAGGTATTACGCGATGAACTCCTATCTGCTTTCCTTTCGTCGCCTTTCAACTCTTCCTCGTCGCTTATTGAAGCTTAGAGCGAAGAACAGGTGAAACTTACTCCTTGATACAGATCGATACAGGCACACTTCCGGTCCACAGGTGTGTCGGGCATAATCATTGATGAATTCAAAACTCAGTTCAGTTATTTATTTGGCCAAAACAATAGTTGCTGAATTAAAGTAAATACAGTTGAGCTGGGTTTGTTGAGGGCGGGATGCCTCATGTAGGAAAAGATTTTTGTGACTGTAATTTATGAAGCCAGTGTTATCGCAACATGAGGCTTTACTTACCTCACTTCTCACCAATCTTGCCATCGCTCTCACGAAACTTCCTGCCATCAACTCCCGGCGGTGGTATATTCTCAATGGATCGTCGGTACTTTGGCGACTTTTTTATGTCCTGCAAACCAATAGGCGGCTTCCGAGCCTGGGAGACCATAACACCATAGAGGCAAAGAACAAAAATAAAGACAGAGAATTTCGGACCCATCATCAGTTCAGCTCTAAAATTGTGCGGGAAAACAGTACCTAATAAGCAAATAAAAGACACGGCATATAGTTAAAATTTAAATTGAGATTCACTATAAAAGTCGACATCAATTACAGTCATCGAACTTCCACTAACGGCCACCTCTCTACAACAGCCACTTTTTTTGTCTCGGCGGCCAGTAAATACATTAACTCTTTCTTAAACCTCTCTACAACGGCAACGGCCACTGAAACGTGTCCCCAACTGCCAAAATAACCTCTCAACAACTGCCAGTTTTTTCGGCGACTGATGAAAAAGTCAGGAATGGTCACGAAATTTGACTGGCTGCTACAAATCAAACACAGACTTACTTATGTTGGCGATGAATTTGCGTGAGGATTCCAATCGAACCAGGAGTTCCTTATCTCAGCTCTGAAGAACCACAGACTGGCAAAAATCTTAAGGCCTTTATTAATACAAATTTATTAGTGAGTACGTGGACGTGACAGGCGTAAATTTAGACAAGAGGGGGGTGTTTGTAATGATCATGCCTTAAGGGTGCATTCAGTTGACAGTAATTTGGAATGCAAATATGCCAGTACTTGATTTTTCCGAAATAGTCTATTTATAACGAGGTGACTCTTCCCTTTCAAGAGTAATGACCCTCAACTGCGTGCTACAGTACACTGAATCAAACACAGAGTTACCTTTGTCGGTGTTCAGTCAGTACGTGAGGTGTCCAACTGAACTGTTTATCTTCTTGGAATGCAACGCCACCTCAGACTGGCGCATTCCTAATTAGGGTCGACCATTTGACTTTTAAAGGGGTAGGGGGCTATGCGTGATTTTAGAAAAAAAATATCCTGCAGACTGATTTTTGTCTCAGTATTGTTTGGAACGTAACACCCAGTCCTAAAAACGTCTACTGTTATTTTCTTGTTACTTAGGAGAACATACAAAAACACTAAATACCTATAAATGGTTTGTGGCTTTTTGTTTTTTAACATTATTCCAGTCCGAGTGTTAGTTGTCCGGCACTGGTGAGCTTTTGCGGCCTGTGACTTCTTGCAGTTGTATGCGATCACAAAAGCTCTTCGCGCAAGCTCGCCGAACAGTCACCAGGTGTGGCTTCATAGCACAGGCCTCATCTCTTATAAGGGTAATTATGTTTATTGTGTGTGTAAGAAAAGACTGTGAAACTGATCAATTTAAACCCTCATTTATTGATTAAAGCAAGTAAGTTATCCAGATACAGCCTCTTTTTTACGAAAGCAGTAACAACTCATGAAGATGTTCCCATCTGCGGTGAGTTGTCCGATTTGAACTGGAACTATTATACTGAGCTAGTCAGTCACTGAAAATCCTGAGAGTACAAAAAAAACTATAAATTAGTTTTCTCACTGCTGTGTTAAAAAAAAGAAATTTATTGTTGCTCATCCTTAATATATATAAACCAAATCAAATAAGAATCATTTTCTTGTTGACAACAAAATTTCTTTAGACCTCCACTTGTCAGAGAAGCACCACTCGTAAGCGCGCCATTGAAATTCGATAGAGACCACTGCACAAGATTAACCAGAAGCTTGTTGGCAAACTAGATTTTAAAATTACCTACTACATAGTCTTTTTTATGATGCCGGTTGGCCGCGAGCGAAAAGATTCTATATACGACATACTAACACCTCACAAGACAGATTACCATACTACCATTATCGTCACTGGAAGTAGTTTAAATAAATTATCTCATGGTGAAATTCAAAACAGGACTGCAAACTGAAGTGTTAAGGAGCTTTTATCAGCCTCTGTTGACATGTAAACCATATCAGAATAAATCACTTCGACAGTGTTCGTTTGCGGTGTTACTCCAATGAAGGTAGTTAAATATTCACATCTTTATTCAGTGTTGCATGTGATTTTGTTTTTCTTCGCTGACAGGTTACCCAACATATTCGTCGAGAATGTGAAGCCCTGTTTTGATCTGCTCGTTCCCATATAAGGTACCGGCACCGCTGTTTCGGTATCGTTTGACTGACGGAAATGTCATACTTTCAAACGTTTTACATATTGGTGTAATCACAAATATAACAACACACGGTGGACTCCCATCCTCTCTTTTCCTTGTTCTATTGTTGTCCATTCCTTTTTACTCGTTGCAGCCAGTATATCAGTCCATTCCACCCTAATAGTTTCAGTGATTAAATGCAAAATTTGGGATATAAAGACCTTCTATTATGCAGAGACTGCCGAGAAAAATAATTAGGATCGTAATAAATTTTGAACCTGCATGTGAAAGCTAATAATTTATAAAATAATATTACCTTAACAGCGGCAGCAACAGCAAACCGCAGTTAAAGAAGCGAGTAGGCCCGCACGGAACCAAAAAAAAAATGATGAAATCCAAAACCCTTATGAACGGTGAAGGTTACATGGGTAGGTGTCCTGTGTCGACTTGACTAGACGACTGTTTTGGTAGACTGTTGACTAACATTTTTCCGAGGACAGTGACGTCGGCGAAACGTCACGTAAAAGTGAATTCACCATTTGCACATAGACCATAATGCATCTTGTTTACTCCCCAAAATTTTGCATAACTATTGTCATCGATTTCTCTTGGGACGACTGTAATACCCAGGAGAAATTGAAAACAACGGATATGCAAAATTTTGGGGAGTAAACAAGGTGCATTTTGGTCTATGTGAAAGTGGTGAATTCCCGATTTTTCGATCTTCATCGTGATTATTCCAACTAACTCACTTTGTCAAGTATAGGCGAATTCTTCTGGAGTTGAATTCTTAGTGAAATTAGGCACTTTCACATCGTATTGTACTAAAAAGCGTGATGCACGTGCAAAGTTATTGTTTTGCCAATCTAAACCTATTTCTCTTCAGAGACGTTCGCGTGGCCGTCGCCGTTGTTGGATCTTTTTTTTCTAACAGTAACTGAGAAAGTTTGGGAAAGTCAGTCCACAGATGCGAGTGATGATGAACCCCAAATAATTATCAAACCACCCGTGTCTCGCGAGAAACGGCCATCACCGGTCAAGAAAACTGGTGCTAAGAAGACGCACACTGACATGAAAAGCAAAAAAGTGAAAGAATCCTCGCTGACAAGTTTCTTCAAAAAGTCTTAATGAATTGATTGTAAAAAATATACATTATGCTTGTACTTATGTGGGCATGTTTTGAACCCAAATATGAAGCATTTTTGCTTTTTTTGGTTCATAGTTTACCAGATTATTATTCCTTGACTATAAAATCACTCAGCAGATAAAATAAATGAACTCCGCTTCTGGGCTCGGTTGTCTAAAGGAGTATTATGGTAACCTGCGTGACTTCAAATCTGAATGCTCACAAAGCAAATTCCTCAGAGGGGTTGATCCCTGTTTATTGATACATGCCACGACAAGAATAACTTAAATCCTAAGAACATCAACATGGAAATTTCTGCAGACTGAATAACATGGAATGATCTTGAAACTGGTTATTTTAAACCCGCCTTTATTGATTCCAGATACACGTTTTTACGACAGTAATAACATCTAAGCTACA